ATACAGTGTATTTTTAAATTTCCCGAATTGTTTTAAGGTACTTTGTGTGTGTGTGTGTGTGTGTGTGTGTGTGTGTGTGTGTAACCAAAATTTTTTTATTTCAGGCTATTTAAAAATTTGAAGAGAGAATCCCTTGGGATTAAATCTTTTGGTGACTAATCCTGGAGACCTTTCTTGTAACATTACACGTAGCACTGTTTCTGAAATGGATCAGATGCTTTAGGCTGTCATCTTCCTCCCTAGAGAATCAACTGCATCACTTTTATAAACATGGTCATGAACTGTGCCCTGTGCCCAATGGAAATGAACCTATGGGACCTTTGCTATTTATGCAAAAGAAAATTGTTGCTACAGGGCTGTTAATCAGCCTTTGTGTTGTACCCTGTTAGTAACTGCCTTGCCTGTGGGGGTTCTCATGCAGAAAGGAGAAATGAACTAGAATAGAATCGGTCCTTTGGGATGAAAAGGAAACATGGAAATTCAAGATAAAATGGGAGGCCAGGGAGCCCTGGCTGGTTTGGCTCAGCAGTTGGAGTGTCGGCCCTTGGATTGTGGGTTTGATTCCAGTTGATGTGTCTTTCTCTTCACCCCCTCCCTCTTCTACTTTCTCTGAAAATCAATGGAAAAAATATTCTTGGGCGAGAATTAACAAAAAACAAAACAAAACAAAAAAAAAACTGAGGCCAGGGAGTGAATGTGCTTTAGCATCCCAGTATTGAAGCCGCTTTTTGTTTTTTGAGTTTCGATTTGAGAGCTGCATGGTGTTTAGAGTTCTTCATGACTTAGCTCTGTTTTTTAATAGTTAGCTCTCAGTTCTCCTTAAAGTGAGGATTTTGATAACATTTTTAAAGGAATTTAATTATAGATCTTGCTTATAGATATTATGTAGTTGATAGGACTACTTTCCTTAATTCTGTCCCAAAGGCTAAATTTCTAAATTTACTAAAGTGTTGAAGGTCCCCAAGGCCACCCCTAGGTTTGGTTATTCAATACAAAGATTAGAGAACTCAGCATTTAGTCATACTCACAGTTACGATTTATCACAGCAAAAAGCTGCAAAGCAAAGTCAGCAAAGGGAAAGGGCTCATGGGTGAAGCCTGGGAAAAACCAGGCTTACACTTCCAAGTCCTCTCCCTGGAATCACACAGGAGGGCTTCCTCCAGCATTGACCTGTGAGTTGGGACAACACACATGAAGTGTTGTCTACCAGGGAGGCCTGTTAGAGGCCTGGTGCTCACAGTTTTACTGGGGTTGGTCACATAGGTACCCTTTGCCTAGCACGTCTCAAAATTCCAGACTTCCAGAAGGAAAGCAGCTGTTCAGCATAAACCACATTGTTTATGCAGTTTAGGCTCAGTGAACCACTCTTATCAGCTTGGGAACTGGAGGGAACTCTCCTGAAATCCAGGTTCCCAGACACCAGCCAAGGGTCAGCCTTTCGAACAGGTCTTTCTGAGCATCACAGTCTCAGGCCTATTATGTTAACTTTTTTATATTCAACTTGTTTTTTTCTTTTCCTTCTGCTATGCAAATCAGAATATTTAAAGAATATCTGCATCTTCTCAGTCACAAATTTATTCAGATTTTATATAACATTGGCAGGCTGCATGGGAAGAGGTGGAGGCAAAAACAGGATGTTGCATGTTTTGGTGGTTACTTTGACTTTTTCGTCCCCGGGTGAGTACTTTTATTTCAAATCTCACCAAGGACATGTGTAGGGAGAGCAAGGCAGAGAGGGAGAAACATCAATCTGTTGCCTTTCGTACGCCACCCGACTGGGGATTGAACCCTTAATCCAGGTATGTGCCCTGACTGGGAATTGAACCAGCAACCTTTAAGTGCATGGAAGATGCTCAACCAACTGAGCCATTCCAGCTGGGCATTACTATATTAATTTCTGTATTAACCCATTACTATTTGTCAAACATTTCAGGCTTATTGCTAAATATTGTTTTTAAAGTTGTAATTTAAAAACCATACGGTATATTCTTAGGTGATCTTCTTCTATTAAAAAATACACCAGTTCCTAAAATATACATAGAATGGGAGCAGCTTTTTGCAAATTATGTTATCCAATAAGGGACTTGAATCTAGAATTTATAAGGTATAATTACACTTCAATAATAAAAGACAAATAACCCAATTTTAAAGAGGAACAAAGTATCTGAATAGACATTTCTCCACAGAAGATATACAAATGGCCAATAAGCCCCCAGAACATGTTCAATATCATTAGCCATCAGGAACATGTAATCAAAACTATAATGAGATACTGCTTCACACCCACTAGGATGGCTATAATCAAAGACACAGATAATAACAAGTGTTGGCGAGGATGTGAAGAAGTTGGAACTTCCATGCACTGCTGGTGGGAATGTAAAATGGTGCAACTGCTTTGGAACATTGTCTGGCAGTTCCTCAAAGCGTTAAACAGAGTTGCTATACGATCTAGCAATTCCATTTCTAGGTATATACCCAAAAGAAATGAAAACACATGTCTATCAAAAAACTCATGTAGGAATGTTTATAGTAGTAGTATTCATCATAGTCCCAAAGTGGAAACAACCCAAATGCCTATCAGCATGGATGGATAAATGAAATGGAATACTACTTGGCAATGAAAAGAAATGAAGTACTGGCACACGCTGGAAGAAGCCAGTCGCAAAGGACCATGTATTGTGTGATTCCATTTATGTGACATAGCCAGAATAGGCAAATCTTTAGAGATAGAAAGTAGGTTAGTAGTTGACAGGAGCTGGGAGGATGGAGGTTAGGGGGTGACTACTAAGGGGTGAAGGGTTTCTTTTTGGGGTAGTGAAAATGTCCTAAAATTGATTGGGGTGATCAATGCACAGCTCTGAAAATTCTAGAAGCCACTGACATATACACTTTAGATGGGTGGATTGAATAGTGCATGAATTATATCTTAGTAAAGCTATTAGAAAAATATACCAGTGCTTAAGAGAAAATAAAGTGAAGTCTTATTTGTCTGCTGTTATGAAAAGCTGACCTATAATACTCAGGTATTTATTAGCATTCATAACTTAGATTTTTCAGACATGAGTCAGTTACTAATTGCATTGGAATAGTACTTATTCCTTCTGAAGAATGTGATTAGGAAAATTCAAAGAGAAACGACACTGTGCTGGGAATATTTTAAGCATTTTCTACTTTGCTGTATGACATACCTCTGTGTTTCTGTCAGGTGTCTTAGTTTAGAAATAAACCTCCATTTTCACCCTGGCCAGTTTTGCTTAGTGGTTAGAGCATCAGCCTGCGGACCAGGGAGTCCCGGGTTCGATTCCAGCCAAGGGCATGTACCTCAGTTGCGATTCAACCCCGGCCCCGGTTGGGGTCATGCCAGTTGATGTGTCTCTCTCACATTGATGTTTCTCTTTCTCTCTCTCCCTCCCTCCCACTCTGTCTGAAGATAAATATAAAGTATCCTCGTGTGAGGATTAAAAAAAAACAAAACCTCCATTTTCCTCATCTAGTACTTGGCTTCTGATATTGCCTGAGTGGGAGTTGAAGGTGCCATTTTTCTTTAAGGAATTCTTGGCTGGAAGCTTTTCTCCTTGGGGTCTAAGTGTCAAATGCTAATAAGGAGGTGGGTTCATCCATTAGCCTTTGAATATGCAGTCATATGGATTTGAATCAGCTTGTATTAGGTAAAGGAAGTGAGTTTTCTTCCCATTTGCTTTTGTTTCATTCAGAATTCATCAATTCACTTGGCTATAACAGTACATGGTAGGCAAATCTTTATTTAATGATCTTACTGACATATGTTTCTTGTACAGTATATTTTTCTATCCATTTCAGCTTACAGTTAAGGAAGGCACGGCTGAGAAATGTAGTCTGCTTTCCATTTAGGCTGGCGCTTCATATTAGTCCCATGTGGGGGTCTGGAATGGAGAAAGAATGATGAGGAATCTGGGACAACTTTCTTATTCCTCTTGAGTCAGGTTCTCACAGTGACCTCAGTCTGTTTTTTGAAGGATTGTACATTCTTAGCCAGATCATCCCTCAAACTCATGTTCAAAGGCAACTACCAAAGCATATCCCCCAAACCACATATAAATGAATTTCCGATTGGCTGTCATTTTAGATGATTCACATCACGGCTCCCCTTATCATCACAGATCATTCCTGCATACCTGTCAAAGGGACAAGAAGTTCTGGCTCAGTGGGTGTTTCAGAAATAAATAATACATTTAAAATTTTTTCCAGAGAGGACATTAGTATATATCTTGAAATCTAAACGAGGACATGCCTCAGCACACAGAGCAGGGATGCTGATGAAGGGGAAACCCTACATCCTGTTAGCCCCCCGCCCATGTGACTGTACCCGCTTCTCACAGAAGTGGTACCGTGTGACCACATTGTGCTCTGGTCTTCAGAGGACACAAGTGATCTGGTTTCTTTTGTGACCTGACTCTCTGAGATCCTTCATCTCAGTCAGGTGTGTGATGGAGAACCAATGAGGAGATATGTTGTTCCTTTGGTGTTTCTATGATTGATGTCCTTGTAAATCCCTTAGGGGATTTTAATACTGTTCAGTATGTATTCAAATCTGTATTTAAATAATAAGAAATAGGACTCTTGGCAGGAATTATTTGTATATTTGAGAATGGCCAGTAAAACGAACACTTAAACAGCTTCATAGAGGCAGTGAGAATAAATCTTCCAAGCAAAATGTATCTGTCTTCACCTGCTCCCTGAGTAACTGGTACCAGGGAGCCAGACTGCCATTCGTTTGGATGCTATGGATTAGTTTACTGGAGAAGTCCGTTGTGATGCCAGCTTGGTACAGGAGGGCATTCTCTCTTGCTCTCTCTTCGTCAGAGCCTGTCATCCCGAGGAGCCCCAGAAGCAGCCTTATAGAACTGTGAAGTACAGAACTGCTCTCTAGCTAGTGGGCATTTGTGGCAATAGGAACAAAAAGCTGATAGATGTCTCATCTGTATTTGTTTTCTCTCTCTCATCTCCTGCACCCTTCCCAGGCAAAAGTAGAAGAAAAGATCCAAGAAGTCTTCAATACGTACAAGTTCAACCACTTTGTACCAAGGTAAGCTGTGGTTAGGAGTCTGAGGGGATCTGGGAGACACCACCTGCTGTGGGAGCTTTCTTTGCTCCCTGAGCTTATCCAACCTCGGGGGATGAGTCTGCTGCAAGACTGGTGTTTCTTGACCTTTGGGCCACTGGCATACCTTCCTCCATTAGAAGGCTGTTTAGAGCTGATGTCCCACTTGAACTGAGCTGTGAGGTGTTACAGCGAGGTCGCCCCTCGAGGCCTGAACTCCGAGGTCTGAAGATGGAGAGAGAAGTTCATGTTTCAGTTGCTTAGTCGTGAGCTGCTGTTCAGATGAGAGCTCTCAAGTGTTTCTTTTTCATATTACACTTTGAAACACATGGAGGGTCCAGAGGGATGGCACACGTTGGATTCTTTTGATGTATGTTATTATTTGGCTGGGAAAATGTGAGAAGTTTGAGTTCCTCCCAGCCTGGCCCTTGGTGGTAGTGGTGCAGCAGACGCACAGATGAAATTTCAAGTGAGGAATATGAGGCCTTTTGTTTTTCTTGGCACTAAGCAGGCTGAAGTTTCCTAAGCTCTTTGATGTCAGAAATTTCAAAAAGGGGATTATACTCAGAAACTCATTATTTAATTTGAACCTTCATTTTCTCTTTTTCTAGTTTTGTAATGGATCACACTAGAATTGCATAAGGTTGTTTCGTTCCTTTATTAGCCTTTCTCTTCTAGACATAAATTCTCCGAAACCATCCTGTGTCAGTTTTCCAGCCATCAGGACGGATTAGTTGTCCAAAACTGTGCGTGGACATCGTTTTATCTAAACGATATAGCACTTTTCCTGGAAAACCTCTGAGCAAAGTGCAGTTCGGCTGCTGGCTGATTCACTCCGGATGGGAAGCTGTGTCTGCCCGGCCCGACCACCTTTATCACATCCCAGCTTCCTGAGGCCTCCTAATAGACCCCTGGCAGGCCACTCTCTGGGTACTGCTACCTGCTGGGACATTACGCATGGTTCTAGCCAGAGTGAACTTTGTTCTTTCTTGCCTCCAGTCTATTTGCCACTGTTTTCTTGAAAAAAAATTTTTTCTATGAGAAAATTAGCCAAGGCAGAAAATAATCAGAAAAGGCAAATTAGAAAAAAGGCAAGATAGTTGGGAGTGTCTTCATCTTCCTTCCCTGGAGAAGGAAAGAAGGGAAATACCACCTAACAAGAGGAGCCTTTCCCCAAATCGCTACACTGAATCCCTGCATTGACCCAAAGCCTTAAATGAATTATTGTTCTTGTCATGCGCCACAGCCAGAGACGAGCAAATGACACCGCTTGTGTAGATACCCTGGGGAGAATGAACTCTGCCCAACACAGGCTGTTTCTCGGAGGTGGTGGGACTTGGGGATGGTCAGGGGCAAGGTTGCTACAGGAGGGGCTTTGTGGGTGGTTGGACATCACATCCCGGGGACTCCCCTGGCTGGGTGCTGAGTCTCTGTCTGCTGTCTTCACCTCTGCACATGCCTTCTGTGCTTCCAAAGGGCCTTTGACGTCTGGCGTTCCTTGTTCACCCACCATCAGAGTAGGCCCTTGGACTTTTATTCTTACTGAGCTGGGAGGGAGAAGGGGAGGTTGTGGTCTGGGAGAAAGAAGTTGTTTTATGGGAGTGGTGGTAGAGGACAATAGAGGAGAAAAATCCCCTGATTGATAGGTCTTAGGTCAGATGTGGGAGGGAAACAAAAATGTTCCTCTTGGGTTGGGATCCTTTGTGGACATAGACTATATCAGGGCTCTGGGTTTATTTCAGGAATCTGACATTTCCCATTTTATCATTGTTGCCTATGAAAATGAGTGTTGTAAATGATGTTAATAAGCATCTTATTATGTCACACATGATAATTCATAGTAGAGATATTACACATTTTGGCTGAATGTCTGAGTATATACATCAGCATAGCAATATAAGGCTGAAGCCAAACATCAGCATCACAGAATGAACTTATAGAATATAAAATAAATCTGAAAATTTATCAGAATTTTAAATTATAAACACAGTTTTGGTATTTAACATTTTAGTAATCAGATATTAGTAGTCTGACATTATATTGTAGGAACAAACCTTTATTGTTAGCTAAAGTGAACAGTAGGTACTAGCAGTGAGTTCAGATGCCATGGCCTGTTTGTTTCTCCGAGGTCACGATGCTGATCAGATGTGAGAGAATCACACACGCTCCCAGGACCGCTGACCACGCACAGCACCGAGGTGACAGGAGTGATGCCAGGGGAGGCGTTTGCCCCTTCAGCCTTCCAGAGCCATAGCCAAAAGGCAGCTCTGGCTGACATTCAAGGCTGAAGCTGGTGTCAGTACATTCTACAACTGTCCCCCATCCCAGAAATGCTGTCCTCTCCGTAAGACTGAACCGTGCATCCCGTCCCCAGGTGGGCTGACCCGGGGAGCTTTTAACAGTTTTGTTTAGCAGCCTCCTGCTTTCCCTGAAAATTAAATTTTCCTTCCCCATAGTTAGTTATTCTCACTGCTTCACACACTTACGCATTTACTCTTTTCCATTTAGTACATCACCTGTGGTAAGAAATCTGAAACGCCTAAACCAAACACACACATTCTCTCTTTTTCTTTCTTTTTTTTAAAGTTTTTTTTTTTCTTTTTCTTTATTGCTTTTAGAGAGAGAGGAAGTGAGAAGGAGAGAGAGAGAGAAACATCGATGAGAGAGATCATTGATTGGCCGCCTCCTGCATGCCCCCCACTGGAGATCTGGCCCATAACCTGGGCATGTGCCCTGACCAGGAATTGAACCAGTGACCTCTTGGTGCTTGGGTCAGTGCTCAACCACTGAGCCACACCAGCTGGACCTCTCTCTCTTTTTCTACCCCCTTTCTTCCCTCATACTCAGATATAATTTTATTTATTTATTTATTTATTTATTTATTTATTTTTCTTTATTGATTTTAGAGAGAGAGGGAGAAGGAGAGAGAGATAGAAACATCAATGAAAGAGATCATTGATTAGCTGCCTCCTGCATGCCCCCCACTGGGGGTCAGGCCCACAACCTGGCATGTCCCCTGCCCCGGAATCGACCCGGTGACCTGTTGGTGGATGGGTTGACACTCAACCACTGAGCCACACTGCCCAGGCTGAGATACAATTTTAAAATGGTGTTTCTCTTGGGAACAAGTGGCCCGGTGCCCCGGAAGTGGGACCTGCTGGCATGGCCCGGTGCCGGCGAGCACGGGAGGGGAGTGCTGGCAGTGGCCTGAAGCCAGAACACGAGCCAAAGCTCTCAGAGCCGCTCTCACGCAGGAGCCTGCCATGCTCAGGCCTGTCTGCCATTTCTCTGCGCGACGCTGCCTTCGAACTCCCCCATCCTGACTGCTTAGGAGATGTAGTCCTTCATACTGCTCTTTCCAAGGATTTTCTTACAAACAAGTCCATCGCCCTCCCACCCTCCCTCAAGTGACTTACTACTTCCATGCCGAGGCTTACTTTCTGGCTGGAGCTGCCCGTGGCTTTAGTGGGCTGAAAACCCTCCCAGGAGCCAAGGGTGGACTGAATTCCTGTCCTCTCCCTGTCAACCAAAGGCACAGTTCCTCAGCGGGAGCCCAGACCGCTGTAAAAAGGGCCTCAGCTGCCTTGTGACCAGTCCTGTTTCATTCCAGATTCTCAGGCCACGTGTCCTACCGGTCACTCCTCCTGCCCACTACACCTGTGCTGCACAAGTAGCCATTAGCCACCTGCAGCGGTTTAAACTTAAATTCAAATTAAACAAAATGTACAGTTCAGTTGCTCGGTCACACCAGCACATTTCAAGTGCTCGATAACCACATGTGGCTGGTGGCTGCCTCGTGGACAGCCCAGGAGACATCCCCGTCCTCACTGAAAGTTCTTTGGACGGCCCTGGTCTGTACCCTTTTGTCTCCATTCTTCTGACTAAACTGTCCTCCCGCCATCTCCTCCCCTCTTGCTTCTCTTCCTGTAAAATGTCTCCCTTTACCGGGGTCACCCACCTCATATTCCTCCTCCTCCACACATCCTTTCCTGATCAGTCCTTTCTTTCTTTGTTGTTTGTTTTTTTTTTAGTATGTTTTCATTGTGTTTTTAGAGAGAGAGGAAGGAAGAGAGAGAAATATCAATGTAAGAGAAAAACATCCATCAGCTCCCTCCTGCACGCCCCCTGCTGGGGATCAAGCCCGCAACCAGGGCACGTGCCCTGAGTGGTGATTGAACAGAGGGACCTCTCAGTCCATGGGATGACATTCAATCCCCTGAGCCACACTGGCCGGGCTCATTCCTTTCTTCATGAACTTCCCCCTCCCTTTGGAGCCTTGGTAGGGTTTGATCTGTGTTTCCTTTATGAAACCTACCCATTTTTCCTCATATTGTAGCCATTCATTTCCAGTACTGACTTGGAAGACTTTTTGAGGTCAAGACTACATTAAGGATCTCATTTTGTGCACATTGTAGTGGGAGCTCAATCAACAATTGCTGAATTGAATACCTAGAAAAGAGAGTGGTTCTTCTTTTATTTCTGAAATCAGCAAGCACAGTGAAATGTCTTGCCATTCCATTCCCCCCCTTTTCTCTGTAATCACACAGGCCGCTTCTGGGAGACCAGGCAGGAAGTGTGGCCCCGTCCTTTGCCTGCCTGTGCAGGTGGCCATGGGCGGCACCTTCATCTCAGCCAGCACTGCTGACACCAGAGCCAAGGAGAGCAGCTGGCTGCAGGATACGCGTCCTCCGGCCAGGGCTGTGGGTCAGCACGTAGGATGTGGAATCTGGGGAGGGAATAATAGATGGGAAACTGAGGGGCAGGCAGAGTGCAAGCCAGAAACCTCGGAGAAGTGACCCCAGAAGAAACGACTGGAATGGTGGAGGCTAACCAAGTCAGGGAGTGGCGAGGCTCAGATTTAAATCGCTTCCAGGATGGGGAGCCACACTTAGATCCCCGAGCAACTTTCTGGGGGGTTTGTCACTGCCTCGCTGTGTGTGTTCATTGTCACTTTTCACTTAGCAAAGTCACCTAGCATGAGGAAGAGGATCGCATCCAAAACATTTGCCAGCACAGTTTCAGACAGTGTAGGGACATTCAGATGCTGGACTCTTCTCTGATTTAGCTGCCCTTGGAGCCAAAGAAGTTGCTGGTTGCCCATTCATTGACGGGTGGGGACGTCCTGAAGCTGAGAGGGAGTGTGTGTGCCTGTGTGTGCCTGTGTGTGCCCGTGTGTGCCTGTGTGTTCTGCAGTGGGGTGGAAGCCTCAGCTACCAGAATAAGTTTACGAGCTCTCTGTCTTTCCAGGCTGGTTTTGCAGAGGGAGAAGCACTTCCATTACCTGAAAAGAGGCCTTCGACAGCTGACAGATGCCTATGAGGTAAGTGCATTTATTTTTTTATTAGCAGGAGGGAGAGAGGGAGGGAGAGAGAGAAACATCGACGTGAAAGGGACACATTGACTGGCTGCCACCCACACGACCCCAACCAGGGCTGGGGACAAACTGCAACCGAGGTACTGCCCTTAGTGGGAACCGAACCCGGATCTCAGTGGTCTGCAGGCGGACGCTCTAACCGCTGAGCAAAACCAGCCAGGGTGAGTTAAGGAGCATTTTCTATCAAATTATCAGCCAGATATTTCTTCCTTTTTTCTATTTGAACAGAAAAGACATATGAGTGAGGCCTGTTGCAGTTTCACTTATTGTACACATGGCTCTGGCAGGAAGCAGGTACACAGGAGCCCAGGCTCTGCAGAGCTGGGGCTCCCACTTCTGAAAGGGTGGAGCCCCAGCTCTTCCTGTCCTGTCCGCCCTCAGAGCTTGTGCGGCGCCCTAGGTGGGGTGGGCCTTCTTCCTCGGAGATCACGGTGGAAGGGGTCACGCGCTTTCTTCTAGACACCCCTTGACAGCCGGCTGAAAGGCAGTGGTTACCTCCTCATCCCTAACCCTTTGCCCTCTAAGCTGATCTAACTCCTAGGCTGGCCAAAGGATCAGTATCTCAGTCCCAGAGTACTGCCGCAGGCCCGATCCACAGCAGTGTCTGGTCACCATACCAACTGTCCCCCACCCAGGTGGCAAGCCAGTCATAGCACATTTATGAAGAGGGCAGCGTGGGCCAGTGGGAGGGGCACTGGCTTGGGAGTCTAGAAACCTGGTTCTCGTATCTCTCTGACATTTACTGTCTCTGTATTAGGACAAGTTCATCTCTCTGGACCTCATTTATATACTTTGAATCTGTAAGTCGGGGGCAGTGATACTACCTGCCTGCCTGGCCTTGAGTGCTCAGTACATGTTTATGGCTTGAATTAGGACCAAGTTCTGTTCCCTTTCTGCACACGTTCTCCATTTCAAGTATCTCAAGCGTAGGAACAGAATTGTACGCATTCTTGTGCCCCAGTATCTAATACAGGGCCTGGCACACAGTGGATAGTTACTAAATATGTGTTTAATGAGCAATGAGTTAATCCGGACGAGCCTTTCTGGGAGTATCCCCCTCCTTGGGTCTACACGGAGAACACAGCAGCACTGAAGTTCCTAGCCCATGAGAAGTGCTCCGCTCAGCCTTCCTTAGGTGCCTGTCAGGGGAGGACCCAGGGTAAACTTCTCTGTCCCATTGTCCTTTCTCACGTATGGTTATTTCAGCTGCTGGCTAAGACTGCAAAGTAAAGTCTCCTTCATTCACTGATGGTTTATGGGGTGCCCTCCTCCCCCTTGCCAGGCTGCCAGCAGTGAGACAGACATTTCCTTGTCAGCAGTCTCTTGGAATGACTCTGACTAAGGGGTGTGATTTCTCCCTGTCCCTGTCACAGTGTCTGGATGCCAGCCGCCCATGGCTCTGCTATTGGGTCCTGCACAGCTTGGAACTGCTGGACGAACCCATCCCCCAGACGGTGGCAACAGAGTGAGTCTGGCTGCGGGCAATCCAGGGTGTTCTCTGGAATTGTATTTTGAGTTTGAGATGCTTTGTTTTGTTTCTCTTTTATTTATTTTAAATGAAAAATGCAGAGTGCTTCAAAGAAACCCATGATTTTCTTGACCTCCTGTCACTTCCTGAAACTCCTCCAGTTTAGAAGCCGATTGTAAGCTTGTGGGTAGAAAAAGACTTTGAACTCCCAAGAGAAGGATGCTGATTTCTTCTATGGGCTTTTCTTTTGGCTCTTGTTCTGGTCTTTGAGAAAAGTCTTCATCATCAACTTTGGGAGACGTGATTTTGCCAGAAAGTACAGTATGCATTTGAATAGCTTCTGTGCGGAAGCAGTGCCAACCCCATGAACAAAAATGCCTTTGCCTTCCCTAAACACCTCCACAGAAACCCCTCCCCACCAGTGCCTGGGGCACAGTGTGGCCCTTGATGGCACTGGATGCGACACCGTCCTGCTCTGCAGATGCCATGACTCACAATTTTCTTCTGATTCGCGATCCAAACAACTAAAATTCTTCCCAAACTGCTGGTGCAGATGGTGTTCTCAATGTGGTACCTCATCCTGAGAAGCTCATCACAATCTATATTTTAAAGAAGAAGAAACTAATCATCACCCCAGTCTTAGGGATACCTGGGGGAGGAAAGGGCAGCCAGGAGTTGGATCCAGTGTCCCAGTTCTCAGTGAGAGAGCGCATGTCGCCTCAGCAGCAACCTGAGTTCCTCCCCTCCCCCTGGGGCTCCCGAGGGAGAGGTGTCTGGCAGGGGAGGCCTCAGCCAGGTTTGTTTTCCCACAGCACACAGGGGGGGCTGTACCAGAATGGGTGGAGGCTAGCCCGTGCCCCTCCCTGTCACGGTGCCTGGTGTGGGTCATACTGTCAGGTCAGAAGAACAGAACCGCACATTGTCTCATTCATTCTGTCTTAACAATAACCTCTCATTCTTGCCTTCCTGGGTAGGGTGTCTTGTGATGAATGTGGACTGGGAAGATAATAAAGAATTAGGCCATTAACCCTGTGATATGTCCGATGCTCTCCGCGGGAGGGGAAAATATGCACTGTCATCTCCTCGGAGCTGCTGTGAGCCTCGGTGCTTCTAGCCCGTCCAGCTGGATGCAGTTCCTGCAGTAACAGGAATTTAATTGTCAAAATAAAGGCCCGTGTGTTTTTGAAATACCAGTTGGGGGTTGTGGCTTGTTTGGGAAGTTTCTCCCCCACACATTCACAATCAGGATGTTCGGTGGGGGAATGAGAAAGCCCTACAGGAGAGAAGGGGAAGAGGGCCTTGCAAGAGTGAAGTACAGACGCCCCCTAGAGGACGGCGAGGACCGGTCTGAGCGGGAGGATAGTGATAAGCGGCTTCCTGGGTCAGCATTGGTTTTGAGTTTATTCTAGGTTGTTTATAGGTAAGGCTTTTCTGAGGAAATATGTGTCAGAACAGCTTTTGCGGCATCTAATAGGAAGAAAGGACCCCTTTCAAGGGCTTTCATACTGACCAATTGGAGACAAACTAAGTAGTCACAGTAGGGATGCTTTAAAGCGTATTTAAGTTTATGCATACAATGAAATGCTGTGCAGCCATTTATTTATTTATTTTTATTTACTATTTTTTTTATCCTCACCCGAGGACATTTTTCCATTTTTTGTACAGACAGAGTGGGAGGGAGAGAGAGGAAGAGAGAGAGAGGGAAACATCGATGTGAAAGGGACATATCGAGTAGCTGCCACCCGCACGACCAACCAGGGCCTGGGACAAACTGCAACCGAGGTACATGCCCTTAGCGGGAACCAAACCCGGGTCTCTCCGGACCACAGGTGGACGCTCTAACCGCTGAGCCAAACTGGCCAGGGCTGTGCAGCCATTTAAAAACTGAAAAGCTAATGGATGCTAACTGGACTTATTGTGGCGATCGTTTTGCAATATATACAGATATCAAAGTGTTATGTTGTACACCTGAAACTAATGTTATACATTGATTATACCTCAATAAAAATTACATATATAAATATGTATATTTGCATATAAAAATGAATATATTTTTATAGAGATGTTCATGATTTAAGTCCAAAATATAGTTGAAAAGATTATTTTTATAGATTAAAAATATAGGTAGTTATATGCATAGAAAAACCAGAAGGATACACACACACACACACACACATCATAGTCATTATTTCTGGATAGTGGGGTTAAAGGTGATTTTTTCCCCCTTTTCTTTCTAAACATATTTGCATTTTCTAAAAATTTGACAATGAGCCTTCATCATTTTATAAATAATGTTTTGAAACTGAAAAACTGATTTCAAGAACAATGAATGACTGAGAAGTTCTGCTTCATGGCTCCTAGCTTACCTGTGGTTCTGCAGAGCTTTGACCTAACACACTTCTAAAGAAGTCCTGAGAGCCCTGGCCAGGTGGCTCAGTTGGTTGGAGCATTGTCTGTATACCAAAAGATGGTGGGTTTGATTCCCAATCAGGACACGTAGCTAGGTTTCAGGTTCTGTCCCCGGTTTGGGTGTGTACAGGAGGCACCCAATAGATGTTTCTCTCTCACATCGATGTTTTTCTCTCTCTCCCCCAACCCCTCTCTCTAAAAAGCAATAAAAACATGTCCTTGGGTGAGGATTAAAAAAAATTTACTTAGACTTTCCCAGCAGGCAGTTAATTCTAGGTGCTGATAATATTTGTTACCAACAGAGCCTAGTATCTATAGGGAAAGCCGTTTTTAGTAAGATACAGAGAAAGCTTAATGACTTCTATAAAACTATGAGGATTTGTTTTTTTAAGCTACCTAATACAGATACTGCCTTTTTATTTGTTTTGCATAGGGAAAAGAAATGTTTTGAAAATGTGGACAGATTTTTTTTTTCTTCTTCATACAAATATTAAGGTGACCTAGAGGCTGAGTTTAGCTCTGGAATTTTATTATTTCCTGTCCTCTTTTCTCCCCACTCCCTCACCTGGAGTGTCACACACACACTCTCTTCTCTCTTTCCTATTTTGTTCACTGTTGTGCTTCTATTTGTTTAGGGAACAAAATGCCAAGCTGAGTTCCCTCTAGTGGACAAAATCACTTTTGTCAGCGACTGTATGTAACTGCTGATGGAAGCCAGCAAGGCAGGTTTTTGCTGCTGGTGTCCAACCTTTCAAGAACTATATATTCATAGGTAGGAGTGTAGCCTGCCTCTCTTAAGAGATTGTATCCACAAATGTATAGATGTTTACCTAAAATAAATTAATATTTTGGAACCAGACTAAGTACATTTGCTTTGTTCATGATTTTAGCACTGAAGGAAGTGTCCTTTAAAGAGCATCCCATGCTTTGTTATTGAAAGTCACTTTAATTAAATGCAAGAATAAGATGAAAACTGCACTGTTGAGTTAGGTTTTGAGCTTCTCTAAGATCTAAAAATTGTCTTTAACTTACAAGTCATTTTAGGACTTTTCTGCTTATAAAGTTTTTCCAAAAATTGTATTTGAATTTTCATGTGTCCATGTTTTATTATTTCCCTTTCAAAAGGTTATTAGTAGCTTCTCCCCTGAATAACTCCCTAAATATATTTTCCTTTTAATTTTTAAATTTAAGTCTGTTGTGTTTCTTTACCTTTTAGTGAGGATACCTCATTTGTCTTCTAAGCTTCTTGTTGTTGTTGTTGTTGGCCAGAAGCACCTGGCATCTAGTGGGTAGAGGCCAGGGATGCTGCTAAATACGCTCCACGGGACAGTCCCCACAACCAAGAATTATCCCGCCCAAGATGTCAATAGTGCCAAGGTGGAGAAACCCTGCTATAAAATAACCACCTTCAGCCCTGGCCAGTTTGGCTCAGCGGTTAGAGCGTCGGCCTGCGGTCCGGAGAGACCCGGGTTCGGTTCCCGCTAAGGGCATGTACCTCGGTTGCAGTTTGTCCCCGGCCCTGGTTGGTCGTGCGGGTGGCAGCCACTCGATGTGTCCCTTCACGTCGATGTTTCTCTCTCTCCTTCCTCTCTCTCCCTCCTACTCTATCTGTACAAAAAATGGAAAAGTGTCCTCGGGTGAGGATAAAAATAAATAAATAAAATAAAATAAAATAACCACCTTCAGACTTGACCACACATCCAAACAGCAGCGTCCAGAAGGTTGCCGGCACCTGGTGCAGTCAGAGAACCTGTCACACTCCACAGGCAGCCCTGGCCCCTGGAATCACAGGAGAGCCTGCCTGGCCTGCACCTGTTCTTCACTGCTCCTGCCTAGGAAAGGAGTTCTCTTCCTAGGAAAGGAGTTCTCTTCCTAGGAAAGGAGTTCTCTTCCTAGGAAAGGAGTTCTCTTCCTAGGAAAGGAGTTCTCTTCCTTGTAGTGTGGAGCAGAGGCTGTCTCACAGATGGCATTTGAAAGACCTAGTACTAGAAGAAACTCGATGTCGAGTCACTGATCTTGCATTTGCATCTGCTCCTGGGCCATTCCGCTCAAGGGTAACAGTTCCTATTTCCAAAGCTATAATCTTTGTAACTTATTCTAGACCTTAAGTCTGTTTGTGGTAACCTATTCTGGTGCTGAAGTTTTTCTTACATCTAACCTAAAATCTTGCTGCAAATTAGCTTCAATTTTTGTTTATTTACCAGAAAGTTTGTATAATTACCCTTTGTATTTTTGAGGTATGTTGCTGAGTAGCTTTCTACTGTGGCTGCTTATAATGTTAAGCCTTTTAACAATTTTTATATTTAACCATTTTTTTCCCAACTCTCTTCTGAACTTCCTTTGAGTTGGAAGATGGAGGCTTGAGCCAGGTACAGTTCTGACCAATACTGTGTTTATAATGCTTTTTAAAAAATGTTTTTATTGATTTTTTTTTTTTTTTTTATCCTCACCTGAGGATATTTTTCCATATTTTGTACAGATAGAGCGAGAGGGAGAGAGAGGAAGAGAGAGAGAGAGAAACATCGATGTGAAGGGACACATCGAGTGCTGCCACCCGCACGACCAACCAGGGCCGGGGACAAACTGCAACTGAGGTACATGCCCTTAGCGGGAACCGAACCTGGGTCTCTCCGGACCGCAGGCCGACGCTCTAACCGCTGAGCCAAACCGGCCAGGGCTTTTATTGATTTTTTTTAAGAGAGAGGAAGGGAGAGAGAGATAAAAACATTGATGTGAGAGAGATACATCGATCAGCTGCCTCCTGCACGCTCCCTATTGGGGATCAAGCCTGCATCCCAGGCATGTGCCCTGACCAGGAGTTAAACCGGGACCTCTCAGTCCATGGGGCAATGCTCCGTCCACTGAGCCACACCAGCCAGGCTGTTAATAATGCTTTTAACAGGCATTTTTGTCATTGTTCACAACTCATGGACCCTAACCTCTGGCCCTTTTTCTGCTCTATTCCTAGTCCTTTCCTGTCTAAAATGTATACACCTCACTCATCCCCCACTCCTGCGCCCCGAGTACCCATGTTATTACTTGTACGTATTCTATTTGTTGTATTCTTATTGGCTTCTGATTTGTTTTATATTATTCTACTCTAATTCTCACCATAGAGGTATTTCCCTGATCGTTTGTATTACTGTATTATTCACTGAACATGCTTTTGAGTTCTTCATTCAAGTTGGTGACAGGGATGTCCAGAATCTACCACACTAGGTCAGTCCTCAACTATCACTTCAAAGTCTGAGCAACCTCCTTAAGAGGCTGACAGTAAATTTTTGATATTCTTGCTTTGAAGTTGATTCTCTTATATGTTTGACATACTTTTTAACAGTTGAATGATAGAATAGTGATGTCCAATAGGACTTTCTACAGTACTGGAAATGTTCTGTAGTTTGTGGTAGCCGCTGGTGACATGTAGCTCTTGAGCAGTTGCAATTTGGCTTGTGTGACCAAGGAGCTAAATTTCACGTTTTATTTAAATTAAAATTTAAATAGCCTCATGTGCCTAGTGTCTGCCTATTGGACAGTGCAGATCTGTCGCATTGCTATAAAAAATGTGGTCCCCAGACCAGCAGCATTGCCGTCACACGGGAGCTTGCTAGAAGTGCAGAAACTCAGGCCCATCCAGCACTACTGAATTAGAGCTGCATTTTAACAAGATGTCCAGGTGAGTCTATGGACACTCACGTTTGAGGAGCACTACAGCTTGGCTGTGCACTGGAGTCAAAAGGGGAGCTTTTAAAAATATTGCTCCTGCTCCTGATCCTAAGCGCAACAAGCCAAGCAGAAAAAGACAAATACTACATGATCTCACTTATTTGTGGAATATAATGAACATAAAAGTCTGAGGAATAGGGTAGACCCAGAGACGTGGAAGTAGGGTACAGACTGACAACCCTCAGAAAAGGGGGTGTTGGGGGAAGGAAGAGATAAACCACAGAACTTATATGCATGTACGCATAACCAATGGATACGGACAACAAAGCCGGGGATGGGGTGGAGGGGATGGGGAGGAGGGTGTCGATGGGGAAAAAAAGGAGAAACAGCTGTAACAAAAATAAAATTAAAAAAATATATTGCTCCTGGGTCTGGATCACAGTGGTTCTGATTTAATTGGTATTACATGTGGCCTGGGCATTGGGATTTGTTAAAAGCATCCCCCAAGTGATTCTAATTGCCCAGCAAAAATCTGTGGTGGTTATGTGGTGCCTATCCAAATCACCTGGGAATCGGATAAAACTAGAGAGGCCCAGGCTCTTTCCTCTTCAGCAAGCCTGCGTCTGTGTTTTCTTTACTAGTTCTCCGATGGTTCTGATACCCACATTGTGGGTTTGAAAATCCCTGATCTGGAAGATAGTTGCCGCTTTTTTGGTAATGATCATGTAATCTGGAATGAAATGCCTTCCGCATGTGGGAGCAAATTGATCCACGAGGTCAGTTAGTCATATGACTAAATGAATGCTTTATGAATCCTTGTTTTTCATACAGTGTTAGTTAGTGAATTTTTGATCTCTAAGATAAGTTTTTCTCCCCCTTTTGATAGATAGAAGTGTCATTCACATTTTGGTGTTCAGAATTGCTAAGAATTCTGCTGATGACAGCTGGTAGCTTCACGGTCAGTTTGCCAGTTCCTTAAGGTGCAAGCCTCTGGATCAGAATGTTCCACAATGTGGAAGTGTCTGAGAGTCCAGAGAAGCCCAACCCTCCTGCCCCAGCCTTGCCCCATGGATAGTCAGATGCAGCCTGTCAGCTGATGGGGGTTGGCGTGGAGGGATGGTGTAGAGGTGTCTGGTACATTCCGATCCCAGCTCATTCCAGACTTGAGGCTTCAGGGTCAGGAGGGTTGCATTTGGCGTGATTCTATCTTGGGAGCTGGGGAAGAGAATGGATAACTAGTTGACTCTTTTTGTTCTCTTTAAAGTGCTAACTTTTCTATCAGCTAAAACCTTTTTGTGACATACAACACTATATGCCAGTGCAGGCAGCCTTTGTTAGGACATGTTTCTTAGCTATTTGTTTCTGGGAAATGTGATAAAAATTAAGGATGATGTGGAAGCTATGTTAGAAACAAACTCATTTTCTCTATGAAAAGTAATTGCTATTAAAAATATACCACTTAGCTAAGCCGGTGTGGCTCTGGATTGAGCATCATCCCATGGACTGAGAGGTCCTAGTTCAATTCCAGTCAGGGCACATACCTAGGTTTTGGGCTTGATCCCCAGTAGGGGGCATGCAGGAGGCAGCCAGTCGATGTTTTCTCTGGCATCAATGCTTGATGCTTCTCTCTCTCTCTCCCTTTCTCCCTCTCTCAAAAAAAAAAAAAAGTCAATAATAACATATTTAAAAAAAATGTTTAATGCCACTTAAAGAAAATCTTATGGCACAGTTTGCCTCAAATCCATTCCAAGTTGTATAGGTTCCAATAAAAATTTGTACAGCCCTCCACCCCCGCAAATATGCCACAAAACTGTTTTCCTTTTCTGATTATTACCTTCAGTTTCAATCCTTGTGTTTCTTAGAATAAAACTTTAGGTGCAAAGAGAATTTAATATGTATTGTTTTTACCTTTGATGATGTTAGGACTCCAATAGCAAGTCCACAGCATTTTCTATGGCTGTCCCAGCCCAGATAGTGGAAGATCTGAAGTCAAACATTTGTAGAAAAGCAGTAATCACTGAACCTGAGAGCAGATTAACCAGACTCTCTGTGGTCTCTCTGGCAGCGTAGATAAGAAAGAATGGGGTGAAAGAGCCCAGGAGAAGAAGGCTGCGCACTAGAAGGACATGGATTTGCAGTTTGTTCTCTTAAATAGAGGCCCATGCTCTTAGGAAGCCTGTGATCCCAGCTGAGTTGCAGGGAGACAACCTGATAAGCAGGTCTTTCCTGGGCATTCCTTCCTGGTGACCCTCAGAGGACCTTGGTGGAATAGAGGCTTTCTTGGTTTCACCTGAAGCAAGAATGTAACTTCTGGGCAAACTAACGCCCGGTTTGGAGGCAGGGGCTTAAAGTCTCGCCCTCACTGACCAGCTTCCCTCAGTGAGGGAACGGGAGCCTCTGTGATTAGTGTGAAAACTCTCTGAACCCACAGATGGGTGCCTTCGGTGAGCGGAGTCAGCAGCACACAGTGGGTTTCCACCGCTGGGGCGAGCACGGCTCTCCTCACCCTGGCGGCACACTCCATAAAAGCTTGTGTTCTGTTGGTTAAAGGGATGAAAACCAGTAGCCCACTGGGGCTTACGTGGCAGTGGGCATGAGGAGGCATCCCTTGAAATAGTCCTGGGAGGCCTGGGCGGTGGATCTGGACCTGCGTGCTTTGTGGAAAGACGCCGTTGAGCACCAGAATGAAAAGTACGGGAAGGATTTGGTCAAGAAGCATGATGGTTCCCCCAGCTCTGTGAAAGGCTGTTTGTCTCGGCTCGGCCTTATGTTCTTGCTTCATGACCAGGCAAATGCTTAAATGTAAAACACAGATGGGAAGGCACACAATACTAATGATAGGGTAGAGAGGCCTTTTGCAGGGGTTAACCGTTTTTTGTTTTTTTAATCCTCACCTGAGGACATGCTAAGAGATAGGGAGGGAGGGAGGGAGAAAGAGAGAGAGACATTGATGTGAGAGAGAAACATTGATAGGTTGCCCTCTGTACGTGCCCTGACCGGGGACCAAACCTGCAACTTAGGTATGTGCGCTAACCAGGAATCAAATCTGCAGCCTTGCGGTGCACAGGATGATGCTCAACCAACTAAGCCACTCTGGCTGGGCAGGGGTTAACTATTATTAGTATATATTTAATAGGTGGGAAGAGAGCTTTTTTCCCTTTTGAGGGAGTAGGGGACATTTGGAAAGGCATGGAGTCTGGTGGAATTTGGAGTTTTGAAATTAATGCTGTTTGACTTTGCTTTTCCCTTTGGCTGTGTACCTAGTGTGTGTCACTTCCTGGAGCTGTGTCAGAGCCCAGACGGTGGCTTCGGAGGGGGCCCTGGCCAGTACCCACACCTCGCACCCACGTATGCAGCAGTCAATGCACTGTGCATCATTGGCACCGAGGAGGCCTATGACGTCATTAACAGGTACACACAAAGCCCGCAGTGAGGAAGCCAGAAGGGCTCCCGCCTGTTGACACTGCCCTGACCATTGCCGTCTCCTGCCTCTCTCCCTCCGCTCCTCAGAGAGAAGCTTCTGCAGTACCTGTATTCTCTGAAGCAGCCTGATGGTTCTTTCCTCATGCACGTGGGAGGTGAGGTGGATGTGAGGTGAGTGGGGGTTTTCTATCAGGAGGTTGAAGAGCTCACCTGCCATTAGAGATGCCAAACCCAAGGAGTGAATGATGAAGCTGCTGTTTTGTCGCAGAATGACGCGTGGAATGATGTGTTGGTGACAACGTATTATAGGCATTGCAGAGATGATACAGATGTCCTCAGTGTGACAGTCACCCGACTTATGTAAATATCAAAATATAAGTGAGAGAGAAACAAAATCAACTGCTCTTGTTTTAAAAGTTAAGAGTACATTTATTTGGTATAAAATGGTATAGCGTAATATATAATTACCATATAGTGCCATATAATCTTTCACCTCCCTGGGATAGGGAAGGAAAGAAAGCGCAGTAGGGGCGCAGTAAATATTTTCGGAATGGATTTGATGAAATCAGGACAGTGTGGAGCACCAGCCTGAGAACTGCTTTGGGAGGCGCAGAAACCCTACGGGCCAGTAGAGGGCAGCGAAGTCGACTTGCATTAACTGATTGGAACCAGTTGGTGCAAAACTATGATTTAACTCAAGAATTGTCGGATGTACCTAGCAAGTGGCTTACTCACCTGGCAGATGGTTGCTTATGAAGCATATACAGAACTCACTGAATAAGTCATTTCTCAATGGCAGTGGATCATTGAGATTATATACCAAATACTTATTACTTAGTCTGAGAAATACATGTTTATGAGGTTGCTATATCAAAGCCATCATATTGCCTATTTGTAAATGTGTTCGCTTCTACACAAATTGACTAATATTCTGGCTTAACCCTTGGTTTGAAAGTATAAGGGAAGGAAAAAACATGACAACTGTGGAGCGTTAACTACACTGCAGATAAAAGTAGGCAGCCCAGCTGCCGAGGCCTTTAGTAAAGGATTTTCTTCTATCTGTGACCTGTCTATTCAAATAAAAAAAGTAGGTATCTACCAGAAAAACTGTTTCTCTGCTCGTGACATTTCTGACACTGGGTGTGTGTTTTCTCCTCATGTTAAACAATTCCGACACAAACGACCCAGAGTTAGGACATACACCATAGGTTACGGGCTCAGTCCCACAAGACTGCCCCTACTTCAAATGCCAATCAAAAGTAGGGTGTCCCTAGGTTGCCCACACTCCTGCCTGACTTGACTACAAATTGGGGGTTCCCATGATGCCTTCCTCGGGTTCAATAATTTGCTAGAATGGCTCTCAGAACTCAGGGAAAACTTTACTTGCTGGTTCATTCTAAAGGATATTATAAAGGATACAAAGTAACCTCCAGATGAAGAAGTATATAGGGAAAAATCTAGAAAGTTCTAGAGAGCAGGAACTTTTGTCCTCATGACGCTGGGATGTGCCATTCCCTGACAAGCACATGATGTGTTTATCAACCCATTAGCTCCCGAATCCCTTCATTTAGGTTTTTTTTACGGGGGTTCCATTATGTAGCAAGATTGATGAAATCATTGGCCGTTGGTGATGAACCCAATCTCCAGCCCCTTTCTTCCGGAGAGGGGACCAGCTGTGGTTGAATGGGGCCTGTTAGAAATAACAAAAGGCTGTCCCATCACGCCTATAACTCAGAATGTTCCAAGGATTTAGGAGCTCTGTGCCGGGAACTGGGGAGAAGACCAAATGTCTGTTTATTATATCACCCTATCTCAGTATCTGATGTTAAAAGATAAACTGAGGCACATCGAAAAGTTTAAGAGTTTATTTGAGCCAAAATCATTTGCTTTGGGTAGTGCCCAGTCTAGCAGATAGAAAGGAGCTCCAAGGAGCTGTACAAAGTGAGAGACTTTTATAGGCAGAAGGGAACGGGGGCCAGGAGGGTACCCTAGGCAAACGGCAGGTTGGTTGCTGCAAGGTCACCCTCCTTTCGAGCATGGCAGGGTTTATCAGGCGGCTGACCCAACCAGTGCTGATAGCAGTCCTGGTGGACTGGTGTAAGATGCCATTTCTGGGAGAGCCGGAACTGTAACTAAGTATTGGTTTAGCATAAACGACTCCATTTTGGGGCCTCTTTCCTTGTTTCTAACACTGCATAGGCCAACAAAGCCGATACAACTATCGGGGAAAAGCAATACGGTATTGTGTTGATGCTTCTTAAGGAAAAGTTAAAAGATACTTTTTTTCCTACAAGGTCATTACATTTTCATTCCTGTTCTGGAGATATTCCCACCAGATATGCAGACTTGAAATTTAGTTTTTTAAAACTTCCTGAGATTATTAGGCAAAAACAAACAAACCCTGGCAAGATTTTATCACGTAGCTAGGCGAGAAAGCAGAGTGTGTTCAAGAAACAAGTTCCGTGGTACTGGAATGTAGGGGTCTGGGGGTCAGTGGGAGGGTGGGGGCTGGAAGGACCAGCGGGGAACAGATGAGGGGCCCTGAAATCTTAAGAAGCCAGGAGTTTAAGGGCAGTGGAAAGCCACTGACACGTTTTAAGTAGGGAGTGATGTGATCTAACAGTATATGATGTGATCTGTATATGATTAGTTTTCCAGGTGTAATGAATACGTTGTAGTGTTTTAGTAAAAGTCTTCTGGTTTCAGGGCTGGAGGGAGGAAGACTGGACAGGAAGTTGATCCAGGTAATAGACTTGGATTTGGGTGATAGCAACATGGATAAAGAGCAGTGGACACATTTGAGAGATGTGATGACTGGCGGGGGGAGAGGAAGAAACTGTACCAAAAAGATGTACTTTGTTCCCTCCCCGTCTGAATGTGAACTCTAGGACTAGTTAGTGGCTTCTGGCATCACCTCTCAGTTCTTCCATTGAGGGGAGGCAAACTATGTCTTTGGCTTCCTCCCTGCCTCAGAGGTTACATTAGGATTCAAGAGCAGATACTTCTGAACTCCTTTGAGAGGCTCAGGACCTGAAGGAAATTAGATCAGACCTTCGAAGTTAGTGCTTGGTAGACTATAACATTTGGCACATAAGACTCTTGCGTGCTTTCTGATGCCGCTGGCATAACTCGGCCTCTCTGTGTCTTTGGCCAGCATGAGCAGGTTGATAAAAATGCTTGTAGGGTAATAATGCTTGCAGCTTCTGCAGAGATTTCTCTGCAGAAATTTCAGTAAGTGTGACTTAGTATCACGAATAATGTGGAGACTAGACCCTTCTTGTTCCTCCCTTCTGTAGGAGGCCTTAGAAAAAGGATTTGTAAGCAGAATTCGAATTTTTGTCTTCAACATAAAATGGAGCTGAGATACTGGCTATTTGAAAAGACTGTAGAAGGGAAGAAAAGACAGTTTGTAGACATGTTTTATAATCGAGGGTGAAGCTGAGATAGATGTGTCCTGAGAAGAATTAGGGCAGAATTATTCCAAATAGAGTAGAAAAACACTAAAAAATAAAAAGGCTTGCTCTTTCTTTTTTAAAAGTGTGTGTGTATGTACTGGTGGGATGCTTGAAGTCAGAGTTTTGTTCTCCCTCTAGAGGCCTAAGGAATGTATCTGAGTGGGCTCATCTATTCCTCTCTGATCTAAGCAGCCATTAAGGTCTGGTGGCCTGCTTTACAATGTATTTGTTGCAGAAAAATCCAGTTAAGCTTTAATGTGTCCATGCCATAAACAGATGGTAATCCTGGATCTAAAACAGTACTGACATCTGAATGAGTAAGAGTATCAGAAATGCCTGAATGGCACCGGAGAATTTTGGAGCTAAATTCACTTTTGACATGAATTGATATGGCTGTTATTTCCTCTGATGTAGAATTGACCATGTGGAGGTAGGGAGAATAGAATGTCATGTTCTTTCACTGAAGCCACGCTGTGAGCAACTCTATCCAAATAGAATGTCAAACCTCTCAGTCGGAGACCCGGGAGGACTGACCCTGTGCCAAGAGTGAGGACAGGAGGTGATTACAGCTTACTACGCAAAGGGAGCAGTGTGCCCAGGAACTTCAGTGAGCCTTATTTTGGCTCTTCCTTAAAGCTTCACACTTTCCCCTCTATTTCTGTCCTTCCAGAAGTGCGTACTGTGCCGCCTCGGTAGCTTCTCTGACCAACATCATCACTCCAGACCTCTTTGAGGGCACTGCCGAATGGATAGCAAGGTGAGAGGAGCTGGGATTTGCCCCAGCCTCTTAGAAGGTGCTCAAAGACTTCTGAAAATACAGTAAATAAAAAAGACCGGAAGGAAAAATAAAATGACAAGAGATGCATTGGGGTTGTAGCATTGTGCGTTTCAAAATTACTTTAAAAGTTTTGTTTTTCCCACACTTTCTTTAATGTATTCTGGTTTAGACTGACAAAGATCAAAAACTTGGTAATGGTGGGGGTCTAAAAGGATTTATCCAGTTTGCAGAGCAATCTGGTAATGTGTCAGAGGAGCCCTTGCTGATGACCCAGTCATTCCACGTCTGCAGAAACTCACAGATGCGTGAAAGAGAAAAACATAGGACTTGTTTATAATAGCAAAAAGCTGGAAACAGGTTAAATGTTCATATGCACGAGATGGATAAATAAGTGTTGGTGTAGGCACATTGGGATATAATACAGCCGTTAAAATGAATGAGAGTTGCAGGTATCGATATGAACAAATCTCAGAACCAATGTTAGGTAAAAAAAAAAAAAAAAAAGGTGGGATGTTAAAACATTCCAGTCAGGATATTTACTTAAAACTTTAAAGTATGCAAAACAATTCTATATTGTTTATGGGAAGAATATAAAAACATGCACGGGAAAGACAAATACCAAATTCAGGACGGTGGTTCCATGTGGGCATAGGAAATGAGGTCGAGGAGGTCTGTGCATCTCCAGGGAAGACTTCAACTGTATCTGTAATTGTTTGTTTCTTTAAAATATTTTTTTAAAACCCTCAAATGTACATGTTAAATTAAAGGCAGGTATTAGATACATGTATGTTTTATATATTATTTCCTATACTTTCTTGAATGCTTCAAATATTTTATCATTAAAAAAAAAAAGACAGCCCTGGCCAGTTTGGCTCAGCGGTTAGAGCCTCAGCCCTCGGACCAATGAGTCACAGGTTCGATTCCGGTCAAGGGCACGTACCTCGGTTGCAGTTCGTCCCTGGCCCTGGTTGGGGTCGTGCAGAAGGCAACCAGTCAGTGTGTCCCTCTCACATTGATATTTTTTTCTCTCTCTCTCCTTCCCACTCTATCTGAAGATAAATAGAAAAATATCCTCAGGTGAGGATTAAAAAAAAAAATGTATGTATCATGAATTCATTCCTGGATTTTTTGCCAAAACTATAAAATTACTCTCAGTACAATCAAACCCTTCAAGTAATGTATCCATTCTCGTGTGTGTGTATTTGTGCACGTGTACGTGCGTGTGTGTGTTGTGAGTTATCCCACCTGGATCCTCTGCCGCCTGCTTCTCTCTGGACAGACTGCTCTTGGCTTGTAGCACAGCAGGCGTCCAGAAGCTTCCTCTCTGCGTGAAATTCACCGCCCTGCTTGCCTCCCAAGGCCTGTCCTCTCTCTTGGTTTACTAACTCATTTTAATGAAGCACGTGCTCCAAAACATCTTCCACAAGAGCAGTTGGGTGACACATTAACACATTTTTTTAAGTAAATTTATTGGGGTGACATTGGTTATGGTGATATATTTTTTGAAGATTTGACATATATCTTTGTTCTAGCCTCACGTTTGATAGTTTATTTGGTTAGAGATTTCTAAATTGGAAACTGTGTAACTTGTATTCCTTCAGAATTTTGTTTTTAAATTTTTCTTCTTTGTTGATTTTAGAGAGAGAGGGGAAGGGAGAGGGAGAGAGAGATGGAAACATCGATGAAAAAGAACATTGATTAGCTGCCTCCTGCATGTCCCCCACCAGAGATTTGGCCCACAAGCTGGGCATGTGCCCTGACTGGGAACTGAACCAGTGACAGACATCTTGGGTGCATGGGTCGATGCTCAACCACTGAGCTACACCAGCTGGGCTCCTTTAGAATTTTTTTTTTAATCCTCACCTGAGGATATTTTTACATTTATCTTCAGACAGAGTGAGAGGAAGAGAGAGAGAGAAACATTGATGTGAGAGAGACACATTGACTGGTTGCCACCCACATAACCCCAACCGGGGCTGGGGATCAAACTGCAACCAAAGTACATGCCGTTGGCTGGAATCAAACCTGTGTCTCTTTGGTCCACAGGCCAACGCTCTAACCACTGAGTCAAACTGGCCAGGGCTACTTCAGAATTTTTAAACATTGTTCCATTATCTTCTGGCTCCCAGTGTCATTGTAAAAAGGCTGATAATAATAATAACCAACATTTACTGAGGACTTGGTATGTAATACTCAATAGTGGGATAGCTAAAGTTTAGGGATTGAGAGGATAGGCTTTTGAGCTAGACTATCTGGGTTTGGTTAATTTTTTTTATTTTTTTTATCCTCACCCGAGGATATTTTTCCATTTTTTGTACAGATAGAGTGGGAGGGAGAGAGAGAGAGAGAAACATCGACGTGAAGGGACACATCAAGTGGCTGCCTCCTGCACGACGAACCGGGGCCGGGGACAAACTGCAACCGAAGTACGTGCCCTTAGCAGGAACCGAACCCGGGTCTCTCCAGACCGCAGGCCGACGCTCTAACCGCTGAGCCAAACTGGCCAGGGCTGGTTAGGGCTGGTTATTTTTTTATGCTTTCTGTTGCTCAGTTGAAATTTCCTATCTGTTTTTTGATTTTTGTTTTCCTCACCTGAGGACATTTTTGCATTTATCTTCAGATAGAGCGGGAGGGAGAGAGGGAGAAAGAGAGAGGGAGAGAAACATCGACACGAGAGAGGCACATCGAGTGGCTGCCACCCACACCACTCCAACCAGGGCCGGGGACAAACTGCAACCGAGGTACGTGCCCTTAGTGGGAACCGAACTCAGGACTCTCTGGTCCGAGGGCCGACACTCTAACCTCTGAGCCAAACGAGCCAGGGCAAAATTTCTATCTTTTTATTCATTAAAAGTATATTTTTCTTCACTTCACTCAGTGAAGTGAAGAAATTTATAATTATAATATCTGCTTTAAAATTTTTGTCTGGTCATTTTAACATGTGATTATTTTGGAGTTAGTATTTCACATTTTCCTGCATATGTCAAGTAATTTTTGGCTTGTACCTCAGACATTGTGATGTTCTGTTGTAGAGACTGGATTCCATTAGATTGCTCTAAAGAGCTGAAATACAAAGAAATTAAGTGACTGAAACATTTTGTGGCAACCACTGTGCTTCCCTGCCTCCTAATGCCATTGTATTCCCAATCTATTGTGTTGTGTTTTGTTTCTCTTTTTCTCTGTCCCACCCCAGACCATCCCCAGAAGTTTTTGGAATCTTTATTTTTGCTCTTTGGAAACTTTATGCTGATGAACTATGATATGGATTTTTTTTTTTTTTAATTCATTGTGTTGGGCACTCAGCAGATATTTTTGATATAGAATTGCATATACTTTAGTTCTGAGAAACTTCATTATATAATGTTTTTGATAATTCCCCTCTATTTTCTGTTTGGTTTTCTTTTCTTTTAAGATTTTTAAAATTGTTTTTTAGAGAGGAAGGGAGAGGAAGGGAGAGAGAGAAACATTGATGCCAGAGTGAAACACTGATCGGCTGTCTCCTGTACGCCCCCCGCCAGGGACTGAGTCCACAGCCCAGGCATGGACCCGGAATTGAATCGGCAGCCTTTCGGTGCATGAACAACACCCAACCAACCCAGCCACACCGGCCGGGCTCCTGTGTTTGTTCTTTTTATAACATTCTATAAGTAGGGTTGGTCTTCTAATTTTTCAAACCTTTTTTTTGCCAATTTTTCATTTCTTTTTTTTTTTTTATCCTCACCCGAGGACACTTTTTCAGTCTTTGTTCAGATAGAGCAGGAGGGAGAGAGAGAAAGAAACATCGATGTGAAAGGGACACATCGAGTGGCTGCCACCCGCACGACCAACCAGGGCCGGGGACAAACTGCAACTGAGGTACATGCCCTTTAGCGGGAACCGAACCCGGGGTCTCTCCGGACCGCAGGCCGATGCTCTAACCGCTGAGCCAAACCGGCCAGGGCCAATTTTTCATTTCTTAATCTTATGTACTTTCTGAGAGATTTCCTTACCTTTTGTCTTCTGTTGCTTTTATTTTTGCAATTCTATTTAAAATTTTCCAGAGCTTATTTTATCTTCATATATAGCAAAGAACGCTTCTTTCTTATATTCTCTCTTGTTCTTGTTTTAGGAATATTTTATACCTACAGTGTTTTTATTTTGTTATGTTTTATCTAAAGAGACAATATTGAAAAGTTTATTTCTGCTTCCTACATTATTTCTTCAATGTATTTTTTGATCAGATCTCTCTTTCAGATTGAAGACTCTGCTCAGATGTCTGGTGTTCATATTTAGGAGTCAAGTGCTGAGATCTGATGGGGAGCTGTGTGTGCCAGGGTGGGCTAGGGTCCAGCCATTAATTGGGGAATTCTCATATGTTAATATCTGTAGGGGTTCTTCCTTGGGCATATGAGTTTCCCTAGAGAAGAATCTCGCAGGCTCCTGGTTAGGTCTGAAGTCGGCAGCCAGCTTTATGAAATACCAGCAGGGAGGGGTTGGGCGTGTTTACGTTCAGACTGTGGACTCACTGACCTCTCTGCTCAGTGCGGTCTCCTTCCTGCTCTCAGCTGTCCTGGAGTTCAGGTCCGCCGAGGCCACCCTTCTGCTGGATTTCAGTATTTTTGCTGGATGCCTGAGGTCTAACTGATTCTTATATAAATTTGCAACCAGTCAGCTTGGTTCAAATTCATCCCACTTTCAGAGCAGCCGGGCCCAGCCCCTGAGCCTTGCAGTGGAGCCAGTCCCCCTGCTTTCTGCTTCCTCCTCCCCACTCCCCGGGCTGTTTAGGTTTCTCTGATTTGATAAGTCGATTACTTCGTCTCTCTCTCCTTTTCTAGCTTTCAGAAGTTATCTCCTCTCTGTATTCAAATTTCCTCCTGTTCTCTTGACCCTTGTGGGTTTATCCATTTTTAAATTTCTTTACTTTCATTTTGCTAGGCTCTTGTGTTCAATCCATTATGTTTAGCCAGAGGATATTCCCAAATAATTTTACTAAGTTGCTTCCATGCATGTACAAACAAAGGGAAGGAAAGTGGAATATATTTATTCATATATATATGTATATGCATATTATGTGTGTGCAGAGAGAGACTGAGACAGAAACTGATGGGGGTCCCTGCTGGCGAGAGGGTCTAGGAGGCCAGGGTGGGCAGGAGACGTACTTTTCATTGTTTATTTGTAAACTGTTTGAATTTTTTTAATTCAAAAAATTTAAAGGTAAGTTAAGATAAAGAACAATTTTAAGAGGTCCCTTGCATGTGTATTCTTTACTCATTAGAACTCTCAAACTTGAGCTGTTTCCATGCTTCACTTAGCCAGATGTACTGGTAAGAAAACTTGGAGTGTGTGTGTGGGTGGCAGCGGACTCAGGGGATGGAGGATGTTCAGGAATCTGCACAGGGAATGTAGCTGGGGATTGACTCTGCACTCCGTCTGCACTGTGATCTCCCTGGTCCTGCAGCTTCTCTGAAAAAGGTCTGTGAGCCCTCAGATGCCTGGCCTCAGGGAGAGGTGCCTGGAAGACAGGAGGCATTACCACTTCCTTTCTCTCCCATCCAGAAGTTCTCCCAACTCTTGGATTAAGTGCTCATTCACCTGTGCACCTGTACTGCAGCCGGGACTGAGGCAGACACACCTGTAGGGAGTGTGACTCTATGTACATACTTGAGATCATTGGAAGAAAGTTTTCCATTGTCACGTGAAAATATACTGAAAATAAAATTTCTTTATTTTACAGATACAACATGTTTGGTATGGTAACACAAAAAGAAGAAAATCTAAATCACTTGTAATACACTATCAACAACTCTTTGGGTGTATATCTTTCCAGAATTCCAGAATAATTATACAGTACATTCTCATAAGTTTTTCATGTAGTATATCTGGAACACCCTTAAATATACTTCGATAGCCATAGAAACGACCGTAGTGTTCTGTTGTACGGACACGCCATGATTTACGTAACTACTCCCTCACTGTGGAGCCTCTGTTGTTTCTAATATTTTACTGTTACGAATGGGAATATAGTAAACATTCAGTTTTTCAAAAAGTAATGATTTGAGGTACTATGTTTGTTACGTAAGTAGACTATTTCTGAGTTTCCCTTTTTTATTTTTTCATTTTGAGGAAAGGCATTTCCAAAAGTTAATTAGGTAGCATCTTTCTATTGATAGTTGTGATGGTTTATGCCTTAATGTGAGCGAACACATTCTTTGCCATCCAGGATTCTACATGTGTGCCCATCCACTCAGCCCGGCTTCTCATTGGTAGACACTGACCCCTTAATCTCCTTCTCTCGAAGGTGTCAGAACTGGGAAGGTGGAATTGGCGGAGTTCCAGGGATGGAAGCCCACGGGGGCTATACTTTCTGTGGCCTGGCTGCACTGGTCATCCTCAAGAGGGAGCGTTCCGTAAACCTGAAGAACTTATTGGTAAGTGTCTGTTGATCCATCTTCCTCCCAGGCCCCAGATCCCCCTGGTGATGTGACTACTCAGACAGGCTTCGGCTGTGGGAGGGGCTCACAGAGTTCCTGCCTTAAGCGCGTGAACCAGAAGTTCTGTAATGGCGCTTTAGATAGAGTTGCTAGAGCGCTCACACCCTGAGAAAGTGGACAGAGTGGACATAAGTTTCAGCTCCCTTCTGCCTCCCTTTCCATCTTCCTGCTCTGAACTTTCTACCTAGTGTGTTAGCCAGCTCCAGAGTTTCCTTGAGTCCCTCAGACATCTGGTATGAGCCAGGGTACCTTCCCCAGACTTCCAAGAAAAATGTCACTTCAGGCTCTTAAAATTAGGGGTTATCATGTGTCTTAGAATATCCTAAGAGAAAAAGTTATGAGAAGAGCTTTGAGGCATCTTGAGGCCAAGCTTTTATTACCTACCACACGATGTGAACATTTAGTAACCAAATTTAAATTTGCTGGGCAGAGCTGCATAATTGCATTGAGCAGGCAATCCAAACATTTATTTATGTCTGGACTCCAAGCTCCTGACCAATATTCAGAATGAACTCAGAAAACTGTCAGCTTCAAAGAGTCACTAGATTATAGTTAAATTATCATTAGAGACCCAGTGCACAAACATACACACGCCCACAACCACCCAGATGTCTTTGGGAAGCATTTATTCCCTGATCATGACCTTAAAGCAGACCAGCTGCAATTGATATTCATCTTTTCTCCCCAAGTTCATATGTTAGGCTTCTTCATAGGAATTGTCAGGAGACCCATCGTGGGCTTCCTAGAGAGCTTCTCTTATACTCTGTAGAGATGTGACCAGCAGCATTTTGTCTTCATCCTTAGGAAGGCTGTAGCATACTCTTTTTGAAGTTTGTTAAAAGCTTGAAGGTTCATACTGAAAGGGCCAACTTTGTGCAGTGGACTCTGGAATCCACTAACATCTGGTCACTAACAAGGCATGAACACAGAAGTTTCATCTCCCAGGCAGAGATAAAGAATATAATTACCGCCTGGCTGGTGTGGCTCAGTGGTTGAGTGTCAACCCATGCACCAAGAGGTTGCCGGTTTGATTCCCAGTCAAGGCACATACCCAGGTTATGGGCCCGATCCCCACTGGGGGCATGCAGGAGGCGGCCAATTGATGTTCTCTCTCATTGATGTTTCTCTCTCTCTCCCTCTCCCTTCCTCTCTCTCTAAAATCAAGAAAGAAAAAAAAAAAAAGAATATAATTATCAAATGCCTCACTTACAAAGACAATACTCTAGATTTGAGCCCTGTCTCTACCACTGTCTAGCTGTGTGACCTTGGGAAAATTGTCTAATCTGTTTTAGCTTCAACTTTTCTTTTTTCTGTAAGGTAGAGATAATAGTTCCTTGAAGGTTAAAGGAGAGAACACATATAAACAGCCTGGCAAATGGTAGTTGATCAAAAAATGTTAGCATCCTTCTTACCCAAACTCCTCCCTCTCCTCCATTTGCTTTGGGAGAACTAGGGCCCATATCTGAAGGATTTTATAGCATGAACCCTTGGGCTTTGACATTGAAAAAAATTAATTAGTCTGGCTTAAAAACATTTAATCAGTGGGGTAAGTAAAATGAAGAATGGACTTCCCATGAAGTCCTGTTATCTCTTCATGAGTAATACGCAGCTTACTTAAATGGCATCATTCCTAAAGTACAGGTTCCTTTAAGACCGACTGGGGATATACCAGTGCCTACATCTACAGTATGATTTATTTTGTCTCGCCTTCTGCAAGCATCCTTTTCTGCAAGAGTCCTTTGTGGCTACTTGCAGGAACTCGGTCTAGTAAGAATCTAGGTACAGAGGAAATACTCTACTCTGTACCGGTCAGTTACTAAGGCAGCTCTGGAAGTCCATGGCTGGTGGCTGCAGCTGCCTTGCAGGGCTGGGAGGGAAATGGAAATGCCTTTATCTGCTCAGCCAGTTGGTTCTGCTGTTGTTAGGGGCCCAACCCGTGACTCTCCTGATCTTAGTAGTAGAGTGTGTTTAGAAAAATTGGAGATAAGCGAGGAATGGTAATATCATGTGACCACTTAGTGATCTCAAGAGCCATTTTACAGGTAGAAAGTAAAAGATTTTCTTCTATCAGCCAACGAGGTTCCCTGGAGAGAGGCTGGAGAGAACAGAGCCATCGTTGGTCATCGGGACTGCTGCCTCTGCTTCCAGCCTTGCGAGTGACTTGCTTAGAGACATGGGATGCGTTTCCTCAGGAGCCAAGTAAAAGCCAGGAACAGTTTGACATCACCTGATGAGATGTAACACAAAATTCCATTTATCGGCTTTTAATAAACTTCCCTGAGCAGGGAAAGTGATTAGAAATGAGCTTCTGGTGGTCTTGCCTTAAATCTCCTACTGAAGCCCTGTTTCGTAAGAGATGTTTACAGGTCTGCCTACAAGCCAACTTGGCCTCTTGATTCTCTCAGCACCGGAACTCATTTGGAACCTGGGGAAAGTGGTTGATTGTGTTAGGCTCTGAGCAGAGGTTCATGCTAGTTGCCTCAAAAGGGTCAGCTTAGACACTCCAGTCGAGGTCTGAGGTCTGCGGGGAAAGAGGTAAGAAGCCAAAGCACCAGAATTGTGAACACCAGGGAGCCCTCCCTCCCCAGATCAACCTCTGGAGAGCCTGTCTTGCTGGATGGACTTTGTGTCTCTTTTAGCCGACAACTGCCTCTCCCTCTTTGTGTCATTCTCAGCAATGGGTGACAAGCCGGCAGATGCGGTTTGAAGGAGGATTTCAGGGCCGCTGCAACAAGCTGGTGGATGGCTGCTACTCCTTTTGGCAGGCGGGGCTCCTGCCCCTCCTCCACCGTGCGCTGCACGCTCAAGGTGAGCCGGGAGCTGTGGGGAGCTGTTGGCCGGGCCGATGAGGTCCCTGGGCTGCTAACCAAGTCAGGGAGCCAGACTGCATTTCCAGAGGGGTTGAAATAGCTCTGTCTGTCCTGGATTTTGAGTTCCCGGTCTGGAACCTCGTCTCAGGCATGCACGTGCAGACTCGGGTAGGAATTAGTTCCAATGATTTAGGGGGCCATGGCTGCTTCAGACTGGCTGTGGCTAGGAGGAGGCAGGTGCCTGTCCTGGGCCCCACCGGTGACTGTCACCTCAGCTGGATGTGAAGCCACAGTTTCCAGTGCAGTGCTCCGTCCTGGTCCTATCAGAGCTGAAAACCCACGCCGTGTGCACATGGTCTCAGTAGAAACAGAACAGGCAACTGCATAAAGGGGCAGCGAAGCAGAACCCACTGGGAAAAGACCCCCCATGTCTTCTGGCTGCATAATTGCCACCCTCAGAAATGTGTTTTAAACTGCTGAAGAATCCGAAATACAAGTGTGTTCCCCCTGCACTACTGGAGTGGAGAGACCCATGTTCTTTTCCGTGGCGTCTCTGATGGGACAGCCGAACCAAAGCAGCTAGCTAGCAAGCCAGGAGTCCGGGACCCTCCCCTCACTACCTCTCAAAGTCTCCGGCCGCCTGCTGACTCCTGAATTGTCTTTCTCTCTTATTTTGTGTGAGAACAGGATGTCTCTGAGGAAGCAGTGGGAGAGGGGAGGCATGGCTGTTCTGCTGGGTGCCGAGCTGTTCTTGGAGTGAGGTCCCTGGCCCAGGGGAAAACTTTTCTTCGGGCTTTGTAGTTGGGCAATCAATTGCTCAAATGTAGGATGAGATTCTCTTCTGCCCACCCCACCCCACCACACACACACACACACACACACACACACACACATACACACACACACACACACACACACACACACATGCTTTTTCCTCCTTGTTTGACTGTGTTTTCTGAGCCCCTTTCTTTAGTCTCTTACTTTCATTTGAGTTGTGGCACTTTTGAGACTGAATTGAAGTAAGAGCCTCTGCCCTGTCCTCCCAGCCTCCCCGTCTCAGTCTCTCCTGAGAGTCCTTGGCCTGGGCCCCTGGGCTTTTGGTCTCAGGACATTAAGAACTATCAGTCCCCTGACTCCGGAGCCTGCACAGCCTCTGGGTTGACCACTGTAGTGGGGGAGTCCGGAATTCTCCTAGAGTCCAACGTTCTTGAAACAGAAATAACAAGGGGTTTTAGTGACCTTTTTATTGGACTGGGTGAGATTGAGCCCCTGGTGAAACCGTCAGCCTTTCGCAAGCCCGGCCCTGGCCGCGGCGAGGTGCCGTCTTCTGCAGCTGCCAGGAAAACGCAGAGTGCTGTGACGGGAGTCCCGCGAGCCAGTCTTCCAGGGGGCCTGGTTGACATTTTGTTATTGAAGCACAGGCTCTGGAGGACTAGTCACATTCAAAGCTTTGTCTGTGGGAAAGGTCGCCTGTGAATCTTAGTGCTTCCAGCTTGTCCCACTGCCTGGGAGAGGGCCCTGCAGGGCCGATGCTCACCGTTCTCAGAAACCCGGGCGTGGACCCGCCGGGTCTGGGAGGAGGCACATGGTCTACACAGCGGGCAAAGTAGTGATGTTGGGAGTCAAAAGGAGATGCTGTGTAGAAAGGCATTTAGGATGTATTGTGATCAAAGTTAGGTTTCAAAGCAGTATGTATCTAATTCCAGTTTTAGTGAAGAGTCGACTCCAGAAAATTAATAGACAGTATATCTGGGTTGTGCAGTGACTGGTGACGTTTGTTTTCTTTCTTTTTTATTTGTATTTTCTAATTTTTCTACAATTACTTTGTATTCCTTATACAAAGAAAAACAACACAAGTTATTTTACAAAAGAAAGGAAATTACATAAACAAAACAAGTAGCCAGGAGGGGAAAATATTTGGGACACATGACGAAGGGCTCATTTGTTTAATTTGAGAAAGTCACCTAAATCAGTAAGAAACAGGTCAACAGCCCAGCTGAAGAACAGGCAGAGGATCTGAACAGACAGGTCCAGACAGACAGAAGAAGAACCACCGTCATTCTTACTCTACAGCTGCTGCTGTTGGCAGCTGAGACTCCCCACGCGCTCACCGTAAGCCAGGGCATGAACTGTCTCACAGATATTTTCTCACTTGACCCTCAGAACAACCTTTTGGAATAGGTACTTTGTTATTCCCATTTTACAGATGAGGAAACAGTACATTGAGGGTAAGTGACTTCCTTTATAAATACCTGATTGTCCCCTACCACAGTATCAGAGCCCTGCTTGTAACCACAGCCAGCCATTAATCAAACAAAAAGATGATAGTTAAAGAAATGCAAATAGAGTCCTGGCCGGGTTGGCTCAGGGATTAGAATGACCAAAGGGTCACGGGTTCAATTCTTGGTCAAAGGCAGGTACCTGGGTTGCAGGTTCGATCCCTGGTCTTTTGGGAGACAACCAATCAATGTGTCTCTCTGAATTATATGTTTTTCCCTCTCTATTTTCCCCTCCCTCCCTTCCACTCTTTCTAAAAAGCAATAGAAAAATATCCTTGGGTGAGGATTTTAAAAAAAGAAGAAGAGCCCTGGCCAGTTTGGCTCAGCGGTTAGAGCGTCAGCCTGCGGTCCGGAGAGACCCGGGTTCGGTTCCCGCTAAGGGCATGTACCTCGGTTGCAGTTTGTCCCTGGCCCTGGTCGGTCGTGTGGGTGGCAGCCACTCGATGTGTTCCTTTCACATCGATGTTTCTCTCTCTCTCTCTGTTCCTCTCTCTCTCTCCCACTCTACCTGAACAAAAAATAGAAAAATGTCCTCAGGTGAGGATTAAAAAAAATTAAAAAAAAAAAAAGAAGAAGAAGAAATGCAAATAGAAACAGTGGGACACTGTTGTTTTTGCTACCAGATTGACAGATTAGAAACCTTGATGCCCTGTGTTGGGGAGACTGTGGAAAACAGGCACTTTGTACTGTTAGTAGGGGTGGAAATAGGTGCATCATTTTTTGGAGGGTAGTTTAGAGACATCTATCTAAATTATTTGAACCCTGCAAGGACACTGTCAGAAATTTACCTGCAGAGATATTAGCAAAGGACGTGTACTGCAGTGGAGTTTTAATAGAAAACAACCCCACTGCCTACAAAAGGTCAGCAGTTAAATAAATTATGATCTCTCCATACAGTGGCTGCATACAATGGGCTGATGTGGAACGCTTTCTAGGACACAACCCAAAGTGTGAACGGCCAGGCCTAGAGCAGTCTGCGTGCACACAGGCTGGCATCCACACAGCTTTTCCTGGAAGCGCGGACAAAGCCCCTTTAACAGTGGGTGCCTCTGGGAGAGGGGAGGAAATGGAGGGAAGGGACTTCCTTCTTAAAATTTCTCTTGGTACTATACCCTGCCCCCCCTCTTTTTTTTGCCATGTGCATTACTATTTTTATTTTAGTAAACACAAATGCATTTTTAAAAGGCAATGATCCTATTGCTAACTAAAAAAGATAAGCAGGGACTGACACACGTCAGCACATGAAACCAGGCCGGACCCTGACTCTGCAAGTGGCTGCCAGTAGTCCCCGTGGGTGGATGCGTTAGTGCGTGTAGAAGGCAGCAGTTGAGTAGAAGCATGAGTTATTATTAGTATCTTAAAAATATCAAATGCAGCCCTGACCGGTTTGGCTCAGCGGTTAGAGTGTCCACCTGCGGTCCAGAGAGACCCGGGTTCGGTTCCTGCTAAGGGCATGTACTTCTGTTGCAGTTTGTCCCTGGCCCTGATTGGGTCGTGTGGGTGGCGGCCAGTCTATGTGTCTCTCTCTCTCTCTCTCTCTCTCTCTCCCTCACTTCCTTTCTCTCCCTCCCGCTCTGTCTGAATAAAAAATGGAAAAATGTTTTTGGGTGAGTATTAAAAAAATATATATGTATCAAATGCTGACTAAATTAGTGCATTATTTTGTATTGGTGGAGGAATAAGGAAGCAGCAGGCCTGTGAGTTTCTATCCGATTGGTAGTTACTAGTTGTTTGTTTATTCTTTGGGACACACCCCAGGCTGTATTTGTCATTCTATGAAACTGAGCTACATGTGGCCACACCTGTCATTGTTTAGATGAACTTTTCATTTCTTAGATAAAAGGAACTGTTGAAATGCGAAATGACATTATAAGGAGGATCTGTAATTTCAGGGAGAGGTATGAAGGATTTAAAAACTGACTCCAGTGCACAGTTATCACCCTGTAATCATATCTCCCTTCATCTCACTATGATTCTGTGTGCTGGTGTGCAAATTCAAGATCTCTGGGAGTTGAGGTTATGAACTTTGAGCTTTCAGACGCAGTAATGCAGGAGGTAACCGAAGCACTCTATAATCTATTCACTAGTAAACACAGCATTTTCTTTTCAGATCCCAATTTTTGCTATAGGTTATCATTTACCTTATAATAACAGTCTTTTATTTCTTATAGGATATGAAAGAAAGGTATATTTTGTACAACCGTTTTATGCTAGTACCCTAAATTTTAATAAATATGCTTTTTAAAATAACAGCTTTCTTGAGACGTAATCCACATACCATACAATTCACCCATTTAAAGTGTACAATTTAATGGTTTTTAGTGGATACACAGTGCAACCATCACCATAATCAATGTTAGAGTTTTAGAGTTTTCATCAACCCCCCCCCAAGAATCCCTGTACCCATTAAATATACTTCTTTAAAGAAGAAATTACAAAGGCAAAATAAATAGTGTGATTACAGCATGTGTTATATATATGCACACATATACATAATTTCTTTAAGCCCATATAACCAAACAAAAGGGGAAAATATGTGTAGCATATGGTACAAAGGGTAAATAGAATAAAAAGCTAGATTAGTAAAATTGATTCTTGGATCTCAGAAGACAAAGGACCAACAGACACCCCCAAAAAAGAAATACAACTAGTAAACATCAAAGGCATGTAAATCAAAACAAACAATCAGGTACTATTTTTTTTTAAACAATTTAAATGCTGAGACTTTTTTTTTTAAGTAATCAATGCTGGTGGTAGTACAGGAACATCTTACATTTTGCTGGCAGCTATGTACATTTTTAAAGCAGTTTATCGGTATCTATTAAAAGTCTTAAAAATGTTATCCCCTTTAACTGAATAATTCCACTCCTGTGAATCTATTGGAAGAAAATAATCCTGACATACGGAAGACTCACACATAGGTGTATTGCAGCATTTGTTAATAATTGCAAGGAACTGGAAACTGCCTTAGAAATAAGGAAAAGGAGGTGGGGTGAAGTCCCTTCTTAGGTGTATGTATCTTCCACAAAGTCAGCTGTGCTCGCAGAAGAGGAAGAAGAAAGAGGGTATTCAAATAGTGCGAGCGCTGCCCTGAGCTGGCCCCGGAGTGAGGCTGAGCGGGGATGCTCTCCTTGCGCGGTTCCTGTGCGCGCCTCCAGAGCGAGCGTCCAGGGGCGCGGCTTTGGTAGTGACCCCAAAGGTCCGTTGCCCCAGGACGTAGCGATCGATCGCTTTCCAAGTGCCCCATCTCTTCCCCTCTCATTTAAGAAATCTGAAAACTACTTTTTCATTATATTCTCTCTCTCTAAGTATCCCATAATTAAAAAGTTTGCCTACTCACTCTACGTGCTATGTTCACTGGAAACACTGACAGTTTTTTACAGAGAAGATTCTGCCCTCGCGTGGATGGGCGTTTTGGCCCAGCGCCTGTATTAATGCAGTTCCCTTGTGCGACCACTCGATGGAATGCTGTGAGGTCCTCAGAAGGATGGCAGGACGATTATGCAGTAGAACGGGAAAGTTTATTTCCATAGTGTTAAATGAAACACAAGATACAAAAGCGTAATGACTATAGAAAATTGCTTAGAAATAAACAAACAAAAAGACTGGAAGAAAGAAAAAATAGCTTTCAATGGCCATTTACAGATTGTTGCTATCTTTGTAGCCCGGGTATCAATGTACCGAATTGACCGAGGACTTCATGCACATCCTATATGTGTATTTAAAAAAATCAATACCCATGTAAGTGTTTCTGCACACATCCTTCTCTGGTGAAATGCATGCAGAATTGACCATTTCTACTTGACCTAATGTTATATGAAGCAGGAGGGCAATTCCTAGCAACAGCTTCCCAGGAACTTTTTTTTTTTGTTAATCCTTATCTGAGGGTATTTTTCCATTGATTTTTAGATAGTGTGGAAGGGAGGGAGAAAGGGAGGGAGGGAGGCGAGAGGGAGGCGAGAGAGAGAGAGAGAGAGAGAGAGAGAGAGAGAGAGAGACATTGATGTGAGAGACACATTGATTGGTTGCCTCCCCAAGTGGGACCTGCAAGCCAGGTAGGTGCCCTTGACTGGGAATTCAACTCACAATTTTTTGGTCTAAGGGACCCTAACTGCTGAGCCAAACCAGGCAGGGCATCTCAGGAACATTCTGAGCCAGGAGAACAGTTGAAGAATTTCCTTTGGAAATAGATTAAATTCAGGCTTAGAAAAGTAGAATAAAGGGACATTATCACTGCTGTTGAGAGTTCTCTTAGCTAATTAGAGTCTGGTTAACAAGTTTCAGAAACGACTAGAGGAAATGTCTTAGAAGCCCAGAGCGAGGAGTTGTGGACGGAGGCAGGAGCAGTAATGGGTCAGTCTGGAAAGCCCAGCTACCCAGCTGGTCCGTGCCTGCCACAGATGTGGTTGAAGGTAGCGGGTGCACTTCAGGTAAAGCAAAAGCCACTCTGCACTGCTGCTCTTTGACTCATGTCAAGGTTCAGGACAAGGGACATGTCATGGGACTTGGGTGATGATAACAAGTGTCCCAAGATTGTACTTTTCAACAGTAGTCCAAGAATTGAGGGAAACCTTGACTGTTCCCATCGGGTAAGAAAATTCAAAGAAGTCCTTGGTTCTGTGCTGGACTTCTGCCAGGCCTGGGCCCACACTGACCCTTTGCCTTTCTGCAGGTGACCCTGCCCTCAGCATGAGCCACTGGATGTTCCATCAGCAGGCGCTGCAGGAGTACATTCTCATGTGCTGCCAGTGCCCCGCGGGGGGGCTTCTGGATAAACCTGGCAAGTGAGTGCCTGCCCTCTAGGGAGGGCGGAAGGAAAGGGACAGAGGTGTGTGCCTCAGGTCTACGCAGAGCCAGACAGCAGCAGGTGCCGAGCTTTAAAAGCTGGGGTGTCCCTTTCCATCCAGCTGCTGGTGTGGTGTGGGAAGAAGCACCCCGATTCTGTTCTGTTCCCTTTGCTATCAGCATCCAAGAGGAGGCCCATCTGAAGGCTGGTCCCCAGCAATTTATCAGGAAGGATTTGGCCCATTTCTAGATAGTTTGGTGTTCTTTGTTTTTGTTTTTGAGAAATATATTAATTTAGCACTAGCACTACCCAAGGGAGCCCTTTCTGGAAGACAGCTGGAGGGACTGACTCTAAATGACAGTTTCTGCCCTCTGGTAGGGCTGAAGGATGGGGCTTTGAAAACACAGCTGGGGAAACGGCTTCCTGGAGCTGCGTGGGGAGGGCAGGGTGGGACTGAGTGCGTGGCCTCTGAGGCTGTGTGGTCGCCTTGTTGTGGGAGGCTGGGCTGGGGGAGGGGGGGGCGAGGAGCACCTGCTCAGAGCTGCCCTGTCCTTGCAGGTCGCGGGACTTCTACCACACCTGCTACTGCCTGAGCGGCCTGTCCATAGCTCAGCACTTTGGCAGTGGAGCCATGCTGCACGACGTGGTCCTGGGTGTGCCTGAAAACGCTCTGGTAAGGCCGGATACGGGCGCTTAGCACCCCTTCTCCCCAGGTCCCCCCGATGGCCTACCAAGCGAGCAGAGCAGCCGCTCTGGCCCTGCAGAACTGGCTCTGCGTCTCCTGTGTGGACCGGCTGGGGGTCCCCACCCCCCTCGGTTTACAGCCCGTTTGTGAGGATGTGACTGTGGGGGAAGCACACCTGGAGGCAAACTCAAGGTCCTAGGTGGGCGTTCCGATCTGTGCCAGGTTCTGTGCCTTTATCCCAGAGTCTAGGACCTGGGCCATTTATCGTTAGTCTCCTCCCCGAGGAGCTTCCTGGGAGGCAGAGTTTCTGCCCGGAAGCCTGTGGCTCTCACTGTGTGGCCGGCCGTTTCTGGAGCTGTCCGTGCTGCCATCTCCCCAGAGAAGTGGCTCAGACCACCCTCCGTAACTGAGGTCGCCCCCAGGCTCTGCTCGGCGCCTTCCTTGTCTGTGCCCTTCATCGCGCTCATCACAGTGTGTGCTGCTTGTTTTTGTCCGCTGCCCTCAAACACTGGCAGGCAGGACGTCCGCCCCGCATCCAGCCCTGGAGCAGCCTGGCCACAGGAGACGCTCCTGAGCCTAGGACAGGAGCCAACTAAGGCCGTCCGCAGCCATCAGGTGATGGGGCCTGTGCCCACTGTCACGAAATAGTTCCAGCAGAAGAAGCACAAGTGGCCAGTAGGTGTATGAAAATCAGAGTAACAGCCACTAGCTTTTTCAAGGTTTAACATTTTTCCATATTTGCCGCCTGTGCAGAATCCTCTTCCATTCTCCCTCCCTCCTTCCCAGGTAACCCTGCCCTAAATTTGACATTTATCATGCCTGCGGGTGTTTTTGTGCTATTACTTCAAATGCATGATTCCATAAACAGTAGAGAGATTTGTTTTGTATGTTTTCTAACTTTTATAACAGTATCTACTGTGCCACTTACTCCGCATCGCGTTTATCACTGACCATTGTACTGTTGAGGTTTAACTGTATTCCTGTGTGTTGCTCCAGTTTATGCATTTCAACTCCTGTATGGTCTTCCCTTGTTCACATGCATCCCAACCTATTTTTCTAGTCTCCTGCTGGTTAACATTGAGCTGGGTTCCGTTTTTGCTGTGACAGTGCCGCAGTGAACATTCTGATGAGTTTCTCAGGAGGGGCCTGCTGGGTGGCAGAAAATCCCCCCCTCCACCTTCACTAGATGGCACAGCCTCCCAGCGTGGCCGGGTTGTTTTATACTCACCGAGCACGGAGTGGCCCCGCGGCAGGCTTCTCCTTTCTGCCAGTTTGATAGATGTGAAATGGTATCTCAGTTTTGTTTTGCATTTCCCTGGTTACCAGTGAGGCTGAGCATCTTTTCAAATGTTACGTCTTTTTGTGTTATGTCTTCTGTGAATTGCCTGCCGGCTCCTGTCCTTTGCTCATTGTCTTCCCGATGTGTAATTGTAATTCTTTGCCCTTTCTTATGTATCTGTAGGAGTTCTCTTATGTTCTTGATACTAATCTTTTGTCAGTGGTGTGTGTGCGGTGAATCTCTTCCAGTGTGTGACTTGTCTTTTCTCTCTGTTCTTAGTGTTTTTTTGTTGGATAGAAGATTTTAATTTTAAAGGGAACAGTTTTATTTGCGTTTTTGGTTTTTGAGGTTTCATTTTTTTGGGGGTGGGTGGCTTCCTAAGAAAATTTTTCCTATGCTGAAGTCGTAAATATATTTCCTTCTAGACAGTTTAAACTTTTGCTTTTCTCATCTAGATTTTTTATTCTCTTGGAATTGATCTCTGTCTGTGTTGAGGGTTGGATATAATTTTACCTTTTTTTCCATATGGATAACCAATTGACCAGTACCATTTAATGAAGTTCACAACCTTTCCTACTGATGTGTATTACATGTGTCACGTGCTCAGATTCTATATATAAGGTGACTGTTTCAGAACACTGTTCTGTTCCTTTGGTCTGTTTGTCTATCTACACTGGAATTTTTATTGAAATTGCATTGAATTTAAGATTAATGGGAGAGAACTGACTTCTCAAGATTAAGGCTTCTTGTTTGTGAACATAACCATGTCCTTCAATGGTTTTTTATCATTTTCTCCATAAAGAACTAGCACATCTTTTGTTAGATATATGTCTAAGAAATTTATAGTTTTTATATCTATTGTGACTGGAATATTTTTTCCCCATTATATTTTGTAACCGGTTATTACTAATATATAGAAATGCTATTGATATTGATATTTTAATTTTATATCCAGCAACCTTGCTGACCTTTCTTAATGGTTATAATAGTTTTTGCCTGTAGAATCTCTTGGATTTCCTATTTAGAAATTAATCTCACTTTCAAATAAGGACAGTTTTGCCTTTTCCTTTCTGAGACTTAAGAATTTTATTTCTTGCCCTGGCCAGTTTGGCTCAGCTATTAGAGCATCGGCCTGCGGTCCAGAGAGAGCTGGGTGCGGTTCCCGCTAAGGGCATGTACCTCAGTTGTAGTTTGTCCCCAGCCCTGGTGTGGTCGTGCGGGTGGCAGCCACTCGATGTGTCCCTTAACGTCGATGTTTCTCTCTCTCTCTCTTCCTTTCTCTCCCTCCCACTCCATCTGAACAAAAAAAATGGAAAAGTGCCCTCAGGTGAGGATAAAAAATAAAAAAAAGAATTTTATTTCTTGTTCTTGCCCTCTGATGTTGGCTAAGACTCCTCTAGGGTGTTGACTGGAGGTAGTAATAGAGGCCGTTCCTGTCTTGCTTCCGACTGTGACGGGAAGGCTTCTATAATTTCACCAGTAAGTAGGGTGCTTACTGTGGGGTTTTGATAAATCCTTCATATCAGGTTAAGGATGTTTTTCTTTATTTCTACTTTGCGAGGTTGTTTTTGTTCATTTGTTTCTATCACAATCTAGTGTTAAATTTTATTGGATGCCTTTTCTGCAGCATCTGGTTTTTCTCCTTTAATCTAATATGGTATGTTTAATTAATAAATATTCTGATGTTAACCTTACATTCTCGGGATAAGACCTTCTTGGTCATAGTGTGTGAGTGTGTGTGTATGTTTAATACATTGCTGGTTTCAGTTTGCTAATATTTTCGGCTTGTATTTTTACTTAGGATTTTTTTGCATGTATGTTAATAAAATTGATCTAAATTTTTTTTGTTCTTTTACAGTTTGTTTCAGGATCATATATATATATATATATATATATATATATATATATAATATTTCTATTGTTTTTTAGAGAGAGAGGAAGGGAGGACAGAGAGAGAGAGAAACATCAATGTGAGAGAGAAACACTGATCGGCTGCCTCCTGCACGCCCCCTACTGGGAGTCGAGCTGGCAGCCCCGGCATGTGCCCTGACTGGGAGTCAAACCAGAACCTCTCAGTCCATGGACAACACTCAATCCACTGAGCCACACCAGCCAAAGCTGTTTCAAGATACTATTATAGCCTCATACAATTAGATGGGTATTTTCCCCCACCCCACCCCCTTCAGTCTTTGAAAAAGTTTGTGTAAGTTAGAGATGATCTGTTTCTTGTAGGTTTGATAACACTGGGCTTAGTATTTTGTTTTGAGGGGTGGGATGGAGCATGATGATAGCAGAATAAGCAATTGTTATTGATTTAATTTATTCATGTAGGTTTTAAAGACATTCTTCTTGAGTCAATTTTGAAAATTTATATTCTATAAAGTTATTCAGTTTGGCCCTGGCCGGTTTGGCTCAGCGGTTAGAGCGTCGGCGTGCGGTCCTGAGAGACCCAGGTTCGGTTCCCGCTAAGGGCACGTACCTCGGTTGCAGTTTGTCCCCGGCCCTGTTCGGTTGTGCGGGTGGCAGCCACTCGATGTGTTCCTTTCACATCGATGTTTCTCTCTCTCTCTCTGTTCCTCTCTCTCCCTCCCACTCTACCTGAACAAAAAATGGAAAAATGTCCTCGGGTGAGGATAAAAAAAAAAAAAAAAAATTATTCAGTTTGTCTGAAGTTTTATATGTTTGGCAAACTTGCTCATAGTATTCTCTTAAAATTTTAAAATCTCTCCTGCAAGTATGTCCCCTTATTCATTCTCTCCAAGGAAGAGAGTCCTAAATACTGGCCTAGGCTTGTACCCTCTCAGACCTAGTTTGCTCTGAGTTTCTGTGATGTAGTAGAATAATACGAAAGAACTTCAATATGGCCTGACACCTTTACTGTGAAATAGGGTTGTGGGTCTTTTTCTTTATTATAAATGTAAATACATATTCACTATTTTAATAATTAGAATATATAAAAGTTTAAATAAGAAAACTAAAAACATCAGTATGTCACTATTCCTTTTTTGGTGTATGTCCAATTTTTGCCTATCTGTATACATCACATCTACAAACACATTTATGTTTATATAGTTTTACTTTTTAAACTGCATCTTTTAAATTAAAATATAAACGTAAGAGTCTGACAAAACATTTTCATAAAAATGGCATTTTTTCAAGTGGTGTACCTAAAATATCCTTACCCTGAATTGCACATGCTGTAACTTAGAATTAAAAACAAAAAATTTTTTAAAGTAAGTTTGGAATAATATTGTGGATACTATTTTCCCCCACTTAATATGTTATAATCATTTGCCTGTATCATCCAATATTTGAAAGCATGCTTCTTTCAGGCTATATCATCTTTCCTAGTGTCCCACGTAACCATGAAATGTTTTTTACCAGTACCCTGTTGTTGAACATCAGCCTTGTGTTATAAAGCTCTGTGTGCATCTCTGATGATTCCTTATGCTAAATTCTTCATCCAAGGATATTTTTTTTCCCCATTTATCTTCAGATAGAGTGGGGGTGAGGGGAGGAAGAGAGAGAGAGAGAGAAACATCGATGTGAGAGAGACACATCAAGTGGTTGCCACCCACACAACCCCAACCAGGGCTGGGGACAAACTGCAACTGAGGTACGTGCCCTTAGTGGGAACCAAACCCAGGACTGCAGGCCGATGCTCTCACCGCTGAGCCAAACCGGTCAGTGCCCAACCATATTTTTAATATGTTTTTTATTGATTTCTAGAGAGAAGGAGAGAGAGAAAGAGGAACATGGATGTGAGAGAGAGAGAGGAACATGGACATGAGAGAGAAACATTGATCGGTTGCCTCCTGCATGCACCTGGCATGTGCCCTGACCAGGGATCAGACTGGTGACCCTTCAATGCACGGGACAATGCTCAACCAACTCAGCCATACTGGCCAGGGCCTTGCTAAATTCTTACAAGTGCAGTTACTGGGTCAAATTTCTAAGGACTGTCAGGGCGATTAATCGGCATCCGTTTCTCTCTGCAGCAGCCCACTCACCCTGTGTACAACATTGGACCCGATAAGGTGATCCAGGCCACCATGCACTTTTTGCAGAAGCCGGTCCCAGGCTTTGAGGAGCATGAGGATGAGGCAACAGCAGAACCTTCTACCAACTAGAGGACACAACATCCCAAGTCTCTGTGCTCACTGCAGCTCAGTGTTCACCTGTTCAGACAAGGTTTATACATTTCGATAATACTGTATTCTATGCTGCACAAGCCTTGGCCACTGTGGAGCTGTGATGGCCCTTTCTTCTCAAATAGAACAAAACCAATGGCTCTGGGTTTGGAGAACGCAGGGGCATGGTTAAAAAAAAATATATTTCCACTCCTGACAAACCAAAAATCTATCAGCACGTGCAGCATCTAAACCAATTTGGGCCTGGCCAGGGTTGGCAGGGGAACAGAGCATGCTGGGAAGAAGCAGCCCCGCCCCACCAGCTCTCCAGCCCGGAGAGTTCTGTTGAAATGAATGACGTCCATGAGTATTACAGCAGCTGTTGCTGCGATTCCCACTTGCGCGCCACCATGAAGTCGCCAAGAAGGTGCCCTCCCATGGGTGAATAAGTCTACTCTATGCCAAGGGAGGGGTTTTGGACCCCACCCAAATGAATTTTCCAGAAAAACTGTGGTGGGGCTTCACTAGAAGGTGCCCAAGGCTCTCGCCTCCCTCCCTGGTCATTTGCAATGGAAAAGAGCTGGGTCCCTCCTCCTCCACACTGGAGAGCTGAGCCACACATCTCTCGAAGGTGCACGCTCTGGTGTGGGAAACCAATTATGAGTGGAAAATGAACCTCTAATTCAACTCTATGCCAGAGGAGGCAGCCCCAGGGCCCCGCCCTCACCCCAGCCCATCATGTACTGTGAACAGTCCCTCCGACGGCCTCGCGGCGGTGCCTGCAGCCCACGGCCATTCTCCATGTTTCCATCTTTCTTCCACCAGAGTCCCAGCCTACACTCCTCAAAGACAGCGTTGTCTTCTCTCACCCAGAGTGTTAACACTACTAAGTCCTTCGCCGTAACTTCTGACTCAGGATCTCAGGATTTCTTCACATCCTGCCCACCCCAGGCTCGGAGACGTAAAATCCAGCGTGGGACAAGCTGGCTGCTGCTGAGGCCGTGGCCGCGTGGACCTGGCCGTGGCAGGGCTGGGCGCTGCCTGCGTGCTCAGCTCCTGCCGCTCGCACAGGACCCTTTCTTGGTCAGCAGGGTGTTGAGTTGAGTCGTCTGTCCATGTGGCATGTGGTCACAGCAGGCTCCATGGCGCGGGCTGGGCTGTCCTGTAGGCGGTCGAGGGCTGTGGGCCGAGCGAGCTGAGCTGTGGCATGGGGCTCTTCTCAACGACTGGCCATTTGCTGCCTCTAATTCCCTATTGCTTTGGTGTATTAGACTATGTATTACCTCCTTGAAATAATAAAAGAATAACATTTTCTATGATGTCTCTCATTTGTGACTGGTAGCAAGAAAATTCCTTCAGAATACCCAGTGGTAGGAGTTGATGAAGGTTGTTCACGAGGGCTAGTCTCCTCCTGGGAGCGAGACTCCACGGGCGTGTTAGTGATTACACAGAGGTCTCATTTGGGTTCTGCCCTCACTCCCCTTCTCCAGCTGAGGGCACGGTGGGCCTCACAAGCAGTAGGAAAAGCTATTTCCCAAGTTCCCTGGAGCAGTTCAGTTACCCTTGTCCCAGCACTCTGCTCACTGCGTTTCGAGGTCCATCTGGGTGTCTGTCTCCTCCACCTGACTGTAAGCAGGTGCTCCTGAGTCCTAAAGCCATGAGTGGTGCATGTCCTGGCCAGAGGCAGGGGAGCTGTCACAGGAACAGGTCAGAATCCTGTGGTCACCCGGCTTTCTTCCTCATCTGGTGAAAGACCCTTTCCCAAGGGAGTCCAAGAAGGTGGGTGCGCTGTAGCCTGACCCTCCTTGATGGATGAGAAGAGGGTGTTCTCAGAGGTAGAACATAAACCAAATCCACATCCTGGAATGTAACTCCTGCCCACATGTTATTTTTGCCCTGCTAAAAGAGGTTTGGGCTACAAAGCAACATATTGAAATGCATCGCCCCCATTACTACAACAAAAACACCGAAGCCTACTAGAGATTCTAAAACTCCAGTCCTAACGACTGTCCATGCATTCATTATACCAGTAAAAAATGAATAAACAGAAACCTCATTTAAAGTGCAGTAGGGTGACCAGAAGGGGGAGCTCTCATGCCCTGTGTGGAGCACAAAGCCCAAGGGGGAGCTGCTAACAGCCCTTCCCAACTTCCTTCCCCTCTATGAAAGAGCTTCCCCTTCTTTGTTTTAGTCCACTTGACTTGCAGGTGGCTTGCCATGGTCACACAACAGGATTGCAATTCCTCGTTGTCCCGAATAAACCCATTTTACTGGAGAAATATCCGCTGGCTTTGTTTACAATCAACAGCCCCAAGGTATTCTGAGATTAATTGCAGTAATAAGTAGTGGGGTGAAGAGACAGAAGGGATTGCTCAATCTGAGCTGGTTTTATACCGAGGTCCCAAAGGGTAGGTGAAGTTTGGCCAAGGAGAGAAGAGAGCTGTTTGCTAGTGTTCTTATCACAGAATAAGAACCCTACTGGCCAATCCGTGGGACGTCCTTTCTGCTCCCGGTTGCTGGAGGGTGAACAGCATTCAAAGTGGGTCCTTGAGGTAAATCCTCAGATTTCTCATGTGGATCCTTAAGTAGAAGGCATTTACATAGCACTCAAGGTTACCCCAAATAAATATTTCCCCCATCAATAAAGAAATATAAAACGATTACAGATCTCTCCATCCAGATGAGCCCCAAATCCCCCCTTGGATCCATCTCAGACCCACGTTGAGTGCTGTAAGTTGGGAAGTCCGCCAGATCCTACGGGGAACACAAGGGGAGCCTCATGGATAAGCCAGTGCAAACCCCTGAGACCGGTGAACAGTATTCCTAAACTGCCTCCTCTTCATGGTAGCATCTCTAAGTCAGAAGCCAGGAGTTGGGTTCTGGCCACTGCGCTGCGGACAATGCAGCAGTGTTCTCGAGGAAGCCGCTTCTCAGGAAGACCTCACACGAGAGTAGAGGCCCTGTTAAGTAACTGCTCCGTGATGGCCTTCCACTGGGGGCGCCTTCGATCTTGCTCCCTGGTGATTTAACTTAACAGAGAGATTAAGTTAAAAAACCCAAGGGGGTGGTTACTTAAGTGACTTTGGCTCTTTCGCCAATATTAACTGTGTCGGCTGCACTGCCGGCAGGAGCTTGATGGCTGGGAATGAACAACGGAGCTCCCCAGTTGCCCCAGGTGAACCCCGCTGTGGGCAGAAGTAGACGCTGTCAGCTGCAGGGGTCAGATGGACAGAGAATAACGCTGTTATGAAAACTGAAGAAATTATTTCCACCATGTTTACACTGATCCCACTTCCGTACGGAAGTGGGTCACTGGGCTACCCTGGAATTCACCAGTAGCTTTAGCATCCCCACTCAGAGGGAGGGTCATGGCCCAGGATGGGAAAAGAATGTTCCTATGCCTGTAGGCTTCCGAGACACTGACCAGAGCTAGTAAGATCCAGGTACTGCGTAAACCAAATCATAAAGACATGGAATGTCTCTCATTCACTGTCTGGGATAAGTTCAGTTCTCTGAAAGTTTTCCTAATGCTGATCATTGAACCTGATGTTAATAGGATACAGAGGTCCATGATGGAGGGCCGCTCAGTGTTGCTTCCATCTGGGAACAAAGGTATTCATTTGGAGTAAAGTAATTTGCTAATATTTTATTCTTTCACCATCTACACCAGGGGGAAACAAACTTCCTCTGTAAAGAGCCAAATACTAAATATTTTAGGCTTTGCAAGCAACTACTCAAGTCTGCTCTGCCACTGTGGTACAAAACAGCCATGAACAGTGTGGATGTGTTCCAATAAAACTTTATGAAAACAGGTGGTGGGCCAGATTTGGTAGTTTACCTGCCCCTGATCTAGACTAAATCTCATCCGTATTCATTCGGCATTCTGCCACATCTTTCATGGCTGGGATGCTTTCCCTGTAATATTAGTGTCAAATGACAAATGGTGAAGTTTTGATAAACATTCTAGCCACCCACATGCACTGCTCAGGGTAGTCATTGCCTCTGAACAGGAAGGAGGGTTGTACGATTTAAGACATTGTTGCAACTCAGAAAATTTAACCCAAACTGGCTTCAAGCAACGAGGGAATGTGTTGGTCATAAACTGAAGTGTCCAGGAATTAGCTCGGCTGTGTGAGTGACTTCAGTAGGTTTCTTCGCCTCTCTCCGTCTGTGCTAGCTCCAACTTCAGGCTCTTTCGGTGTGGTTATAAAATGACAGAAGCAATATCTCCAGACCTTATATCCTCTTAGGGTCAAGTGCAGCAGATAAGAGCAGTGGGCACAGCCCCAGCCTTCCTTCCCAGTGAACATCATTGTGTGTCACCGGCTTTGATCAGACTGAGAAGCGATCCAGTGGCCAGACTGCAGTGTACTGATTGGCCTAAGTCTTGATCACATGCTTCTCCCATGAGTGGGAAGTGGAGCTCCAACAGAAGCACGTAGTCTGAGGATGGGGAAGGAATGAAGCCCAAAATGCCAGTTAAGGTTGTAGCCAAAAGGGGGAAATGGATGCTAGAGAGGCCGATCACCATTGTTCTCTACTACAGTGGATTCTCACTGTGATAAAAACCTGTTGTGGTCATTGTTGGCATCATTTTCCCCCTTCTCAACTGTGGCAGATAAGACTTGCATAGAACCCTGGCCAGTTTGACTCAGCAGTTAGAGCGCCGGCCTGCGGTCTGGAGAGACCCGGGTTCGGTTCCCACAAAGGGCACATACCTCAGTTGCAGTTTGTCCCTGCCCCTGGTTGGGTCATGTGGGTGGTGACCACTCGATGTGTCCCTTTCACATTGATGTTTCTCTCTCTCTCCCTCTCTCTCTCTCTCTCTCTCTCTCTCCCCCCCCTCCCTCCCTCCCACTCTATTTGAACAAAATATCAAAAAATGTCCTCGCGTGAGGATAAAGAAAAAAAAGACTTGCATGGATTTGACCCCCTCCTACTCCAGGGCCAAGCCCTGACTGGCCTAACCCAATCATTTTAATTGACTCTCTTTGCTTCAGTCATTTGTTAAGGTTTGGTAATAACCCAGGTCTAAGCCAATCAACATGACTTGTCCTAGCCTCAGTGATTGATTCAGGGCCAAGCATGTGGCCTAAAATAGACCAAAGAGAGAAGCCCTAGACGTGTTATGATAAGAGAAAAAGCAGCCGTCCCTATTAGGGATGGTGGAATGTGTGACCTGGAACTCCTACAAAACCATTCCTACAAGGAAGCTAGCCTTAGAAGCTAGCACACAAGGATTCCCTGAGAGACTGGGAACCACGACCAGAACCCTGATCACACTGCTCCTGCGGCCTACTCTGCCTCTGCGTTTTTCAACCATTAGCCAATAACATTAAGCCAATTTTACTTGCAACCTAAAACATCCTAAATCATGCAAAATTCTATCCCAGGTTAGCCCCAGGGCCATGAAGGTCCTTACTTGAGGACTGAAAAACACTGACCATCCTCGTCACACCCACCCAGACAATATACTTAGGAGAACGCTTCCTGGTCTATTGCCTCTTCTCATTTGATCCTTGACTCAAACTCATGAGGTGGGCGAGGCAGGTGTATTATCTCTATTTTACAACTAGAGAAACAGGTCAGAGAGCTTAGGTGAATCACCCAAGGTTTCCTAGGTGTCAAGTAGTAGAGTCTGAACCTGCACCCAGATCTGCTGCCTCCAAGGCCATGCCCTTCCATAACCCGGGTCTCTAAAGGGTGGTCTCAGGGGGTGTGGGGTCCATAGCTAAACATCATGGGTTACCTCCAGGACTGGGCGACTGAGGCCTCGAACGCCTGCCCCATCTTTTACCTGGATGAAGATGGTCACAGCCAACATCAGGGGCAGGCTCACCTCACCCTTCTAACGCTGGCTCAGAGGGACACTCCCTGCACTAAATGCATGCCACTCCACTGCAGAGTGTGACCCTACATGACTCACAGCAAGGCCGTGGTGAATCAGTCTTTCTGGGAGCTGACTGCAGCCCCAGTGGCAGCCAGCTTCCCCAGGCTGGCCCGGCACTCCTCACCATTTCCTGGACACCCTCTTTCATTTCCCTGCAGTAACCCCCTCACCTCTGCTTTCCACCAGCTGGCGCAGGCGGCCCAGAGCCGGGGCCTGGCAGCGGTGCCCCTCCCTCCCAGTCCTCCGGTACATCCAAGAACAAGTCAGGCAGGTGGGGGCAGAGTGCTCATCACCAACCCAGCTGAACAGAAAACTTTCCCTCCCTCTGCTCCCCCTGCAGAAACACAGCTCTTACGAAATAGTAAGAAC